AGGAGGAGAGAGAAGTTGTGTTGCCAATCCAAAGCTGTTCCATGGAAGAAAGATGGAAAGTCACATCCTGTGTGGTTTACAGCCACTGAAAACTCACTGGAGGGTCAGCTTTGAGTCAGTTCTGACTGGATAGCACTTAACAAAAATAATGTATGTGAGTATATATTCATATGTTATTGTTGTTATGTACTGCTGAGTTGGAACAGACTCATAGCTGAACTTCCAGTGGATTTTGTTGCTGTTGTTGTTAGATGCTGTCTGGTTGCTCGCATATCATAGTGACACTATTTACAACAGTTTTGAAGCCTGAGAAGTCCTGAGTCAGTATCACTGACTCTGACACACCTACTCCCATTGCCCCAGTTGCTGTATCAATCCATCTCATCCAGGGTCTTTCTCTCCTGTGCTGTCTCACCACCCTTCACAGCATGATGTCCTTCTGCAAGGACTGGTCCATTCTGGCCATGTACCTAAAATATGTGAGATGAAAATTCAAAATCCTAGCCTCCAAGGAGAAACAGTTTCACCCTGTCCAAGACAGACTTGTGATCCATAGTAGGTTCAAGACTCTTCTCCAGCACCACAACTCAAAGGCATCAATAAGTCTTCTGCTATCCTTGGTCATTGACCAGCTCTCTGATGTATGGCAAGTAATTATGAAGACCATGGCCTGAATCAAGTGCACCATATTCTCTAGACTGACATAATTTTCTTTTTAGTACCCTGGAGAGGTCTCTGACAGCAGATTTTCCCACTGCAATTAATTTTGACTTCTTGACTGCTGGTACCAAGAGTGTTGATTTTGGAGTCAAGCAAGCAGAAAGTGTTAGCAAACTCAATCTCTTCTCCATCCATCATGGCATTACCAATTGACCTAGTGGTGAGAATCTTTGTCTTGACGTTGAGCTTCAATCCATATTGAAGACCACAGACCTTGACCTTCTCCAGGAAGTGCTTCAGGTCCTCCTCAGTCTTGGCAAGCAAGGTTGTGTCATCTCCATAATATAGGTTGTTGATGAGTCTTCCTCCAGTCTTGATGCCACATGGCTCCTCATAAAGTCCAGCTTCCTGAATTATATGTTCTGCATATAGAATGAAAAGGTATGCATCCCTGATGTACTCCTTTCTTGATTTTGAACCATGCCATGTTTCCTTACTCTATTCTAAGGACTGCTTCCTGGCCCAAGTGTAGGTTTTGCATGAGCATGATCAAGAATTCTGGGATTCCCATTCTCTAAAGGTTAGTCAACGTTTTGTGATCCACACAATCAAGTGTCTTTGCATAGTCAATGAAACACAGATAAACATTCCTCTGAAATGCTTTCCATTGCATTTTAAGAGGCAATAAATCACATGGAAGTAGATTATTCATCATTCTCCCATACAAAGTTGTGTCATCTGCATAACATAGGTTGTTGATAAATCTCCCTCTGAACATGATGCCACATTCTTCTTTATAAAGTCTAGTTTCTCGAATGATTTGCCTACCATAGAGATTGAATAGGTATGTAGAAAGGATACAGCCCTGATGCACACTTTTCTTGATTTTAAACCATCCAGTGGTCCCTTATTCTATTCAGATAACAGCTATTTGAACAATCCCAGAACACTTGATTGTACTTATGCAAACCGTATACTTGGATCAAGAGGCAGCAGTCAGAACAGAGCAAGAAAACATGGCATGGTTCAAAATTGGGAAGGATGTGAATTAAGCATGTGTCCTATCTTCATATCGTTTCAATCTATATGTGGAACAGATTATCTGGGAGGCTGGGCACTATGAAGAGTGTGGCACCAGGATTGGAGGTAGACTCATCAACAATCTGCGTTATGCAGATGATACACCCCTGCTTGCTGAAACTGAGGAGAACCTGAAGAAGGTTGCTGCAAAAGGTCAAGGACTGCAGCCTTCAATATGGATTGAAACTCAACATAAAGAAAACAAAGTTTCTCACTATTGGGCTGATTGGCAGCATCATGATAGATGGTGAAGAGATTGAGATTGTTGACAGCTTCAGTTTGGCTCTACAGTCAACACTCTTGGCACCAGCAACCAGGAAATTAAAAGATGAATTACATTGGAAAAATGTGCCGTCAGAGACCTCTCCAAAGTAATGAAGAGCAACGATGTCAGTCTGGAGACTAAGGTGTGCCAGATCCAGACCATGGTCTTTGCAATTACTTGCTATGCATCAGAGAGCTGGGCAATTACTAGGTATGATAGAAGGAGAGTTGATGTCTTTGACCTGTGGTGATGGAGAAGAGTATTGAGGGTACCATGGACTGCTAAGAAAACAAACAGATTCATCCTGGAGAGGGTGAAGCCAGGCTGGTCCTTGGAGACAAGGGTTCTGAAGCTCTGTCTGACATACTTTGGACATGTTGCAAGGTGGGGTCAGTTCTTGGAGAGGGACGCCATGCTTAACAGGGTGGAGAGCACACAAGAGGAAGATCCTCAACGTGATGGATTGGTTCAGTTACTGGGGTAATGGGAGTAAGTGTGTCAGAGACCATGAGGTTGGCACAGGATAGAGCAGGGTATAACAACAATATATGTGTTATGCAATTCCTATTCTTCTCAATGTTCATAATGTTAACTTATTATGATTCACAGTCAAATGCCTTTGCATAGTCAATAAAACACAGATATTATTCTGATATTCTCTGCTTTCACTCAAGTTCCATATACATCCACAATGATATATCCCTGATGCCACAGCCTCTTCTAAATCTCACTTTCAGTTCTAAAACTCAGTTCTCTGTCAATGTACTTTCAATTTATAACTAAGTGGATAGCTGTCCTGGGAAGTCAGCAGGTGACTAAGAAGTGATTCATGCCAATCTGACACACAAAGAGAAGACACTGAAAACTTTAAAGAAAATACAAGCAAAACCATCTGCAGGCCATTTACTGTCAGAGAAGGTCTTCCTAAATGCCTTAAGTAATTGCCTTTGAAGGCATAATGCTGTAAGAGATGTTTACAATGTTAAACTGGGGACATCTAGAAAAGAAAAAAAATGTGATCAGTGATAAATCGCCGGCTGTTTGAAAAAGCCAGCCTTCCAGAATGATTCATCTCCTGGGATTTCCAGGTAACTGTAATTTTACTGTATTCTCAGTGTATGGAGTGGCACATTGGGTCGGATTGGCTTGCATGCTAGTTGGCATTTGTGTTGCCCTCTTCTTGGTAATGTATGTATGATCAGGGCGGCATAGGGTTGGTATGCTGATTACACATCCTGAGGAGGAGAGATCCTAAACAGGAGGAGAAAAAAAAAGCAACAAAATACTCAATTGTAATTCAGAAACCTTTATGACCTATGCTATGCCAATGACATCTTGGTATTTGATTGCAACCCATCATTTCTGATTTGAAAAAAAGTGGGCTATTTCTCCCCAGTAAAAACAAAAACAGCTCAAACTCTCCAACACAAAAACCTCAAACTCAAGGTCATCTAGTTAATTCAGAATTCTAAACAAGCAAAGATCATGGAATGGGAGGCCTGTGGCCTGCGTTGTTTGCATTTGCAAGAGCCTTTTGGAGGTGGTCATTGCTTAACTCCTCAATGGTAATGTGAAAAATTCACTTTTCCTTCATGCAGCAGAATTGGGAGACTTCCATGAAGAAACTGATAGGAATCATCTGGCACAAACCCGGTATTTACCAAACCAAGACAGTTTAGAGAGCCAGATCGTGCACTTTCATCAGAAGCACGTGTAAGTACTTTCACTGGTTTCTCATTCCACCACTTGTTGTTCACAGCGCTCAAGTTGACCCTTGACTCCTAGCAAAACGATATACGCTTCCCAGTGCTGCACCATTCCCATGATCAGATGTGAATGAGACCACTGTGATTCATAGTTTTCACTAGCCGGTATTGGGAAATAATAGAGCTCCAGGCCTTTCTTCCTAGTCCATGTTGGTCTGGATGCTGTGCTGAAACTTTTCTCAGCATCACAGCAAAACAAAACCAGCGAGATAGAAGGGTGGTGACTATATCCTAGGTTCACCTGCATGGAAAGTAAGAATTGTAGAGAACACAAAAGCTGAAAACATACTCCTCAAATCAAACCTATCATGTTTGAGAAGCTTCATACTTAAAAAAACACTGAGCTTAAAACATAAAAATAAAAATAAATAAAAAAACCCAAACACACACCCACTGAGCTCCTGAAGGAGATCACAAGCTGAGAGTGTCATCACTGCTATATTGGTTAGGCTCATCAATAACTGGCTCTTTCTCCTCGCAGAGGTAGGAGCCCAGCGGAATCTGACATTCTGTTACTGGACATTGCAAGGAAGTTAGACATGTATGGCATCAGGCCTCACCCTGCTAGTGATGGTGAAGGGATGCAGATCCATCTGGCTGTGGCTCATATGGGAGTCCTGGTGTTACGGGTAAATCTTATTTCCTTTAAGTCTTCAACCTGACGAGGGATTTCATTGGCTCAAGGAAATCTCATCCCTAAGGCTTACCACCAGTGAGAGGGGGAACAAATGCTTGGAATCTTTTGTAGCGTCTTCTCCATTCAATGTGCTTTCCTTCCATTTATAGTCCATAATGGACTTTTTTTTTTTTTATTCTGAGGAGTTCATTCATTATATCTGGCCAACACGGTAAAGAGATGAGGTCAAGAGACTCCTTGGAACTTCTAGAAGACCTAAACATGAAAATGGATCTTAGCGTCCTGAAAATGTAGGCTGTGACAATGCTTTCATCGTGTCTAAATCCACAGAAGGATCCAATATGTGGTGTTCTAGTTCAGTTACTGATTTCAACCATGGGAGAAAAAGAGGTGACCCACTGATTCCAGAATCAAATTCGAGCACTGAAGTAAGTTACTGAGCAGGCCAGGTACAGACTGGGCCAATAGACTCCTGCTCCTCTCATTTATTGATCTATAAAGTTTTCAAGGATTAAGCGTCACATTGTTGGGCCACATTGATGGCCCAATGGATCAGAGGCATAACCTGTTCAACCAAGAAAGACTTAGCACTCACACCATTCTAACCCTTCACCCTTGTCATTTTTACCACATGGAAGACGAAAGAGAGGCTAGGAAGCAGGGCCATTATGTGGTTATTATCTCCTTCAGTGAGAATACTTCCATGGACAGCTGGAAACAATGTTAAAAAAAAAAAGAAAGCCCACCCCACTGCCAGGTGACTCAAGTCCAACTCATTGCACAACATATAGCAAGTCTCCATCATTTTTCTGAGATTGTGAGTGTGTATGTGTGTGTGTGTGTGTGTTTGTGTGTGTTTGAGTGAGTGATTTGAGTGAAATTGTACAAAGCATATTGGCTTCTTATTCAATCTTTCACATAAATTTTGCTTCATAACATTATATACAATAACCACAATGTCTCATCATCTCCTTAGTATATGTTGCCTTTACCATAACCCATCTTTATACCTCAAATTCATTGCTGTGCACTCAGAACTGACTCATAGATGGCCCTTCAGCAGGTCACCTATGCACAAGAGAAAATTGCCCATCTTTCTCCATAAGCCACTGGTAGATTTGAACTACTGGAGAGGTGCAGGCTTTGAGTTAACGCCACACTGTCCCTGGACACCCATCAGAGCTCCCTGTAAGCAGTCATTGTCTGCTTGTTAACATTTACTGCTCCAGCACTCATTTCTCATTCCTGGTAACCATCCAAGAATGGTGCTGAGTGTAAACTTTCTTTAGCTTTTTATACTAGCAGTTTTATACAACATTTGGGGTTTTTTTTGTTTTTGTTTTTTTGTAACTGAGTTCACACAGCATAATGTCCTCTAGATTCATCTCTTAGACAGCGTTTGCTTAATTCTTTACCAAGTTTTATGTTACACACACACACACCACACACACACATATCCCCTGTGTTATATAAATATTCTATGTGGTTTGTACTATAGTTTCTTTAACCATCTGTCTGTTGATTGACACATATGTTGTTTGTATCTTTTCATTATTGTTAATAATGGTGCGGTAGACATGACCATGCATATGTGAGTGTCAAAAGAGCATGAGCTACATGGGGATGGCCATATGTGACCTTCACCAACTTCCCAAAGGAGAACTCTGTCAGCAACACAAAACCAATTTCCATGAGGTCAGACATGTCCCCTATACTCCTGCACCTCTTTCTACTCATCCCAACATTGATCTTACTTCTTTACTGGGTACACACACACACACACACACACACACACACACACACACACAGCCATATTGGGGAAGCCAAAAGGTTACAATTCAGGTTACTAGCAGAAGGCAGTCAGGACAGCTTCCAAAATGTGCTTGTAGGTGCCTCAGCCTTGAGCCTGCTGGCTTTAGACCAGTATTACAAAGTTCTTTGTGTTGCCAATTGTGGCTCTCTAACCCCCTTCCACCCTACCTTCCTCCCACCCCCTGCCAACCACCAAGTCTTTCAACAAGCTTGGGCAAAAGGCTTTTAGTTCCAGTTCCATGGCATAGCAGTCCCAAGGTCCACTCTGTCACATGTCAGGTCTCTTGTTCACTGCTGTGTCTGCTATGGCTACTGCTCCCTAGTCTGGCTGGTCCAAGAATCTCTGGCCCTGAAGGAGGTCCTACATTCTTTTGCTTCTTCTTTGTTGGTGGGGAAGATCCTCCAATTTTGCTACTGGATCCACTCAATTTAATGGCAAAGCTAGCCAATCTCCTAGTGAGATTGCTGGATCAAGTGACATTTCCACTGCTAACTTTTTAAGGAAGTGACAAACTTATTTCCACAGTGGTTGTACTATTTTAGATTCCCACGAAGCCTTTATAACAATTCAAATCTCTCCACCTCTTACCAGCATTTGCTGTTTACTGTCTTACTGAATTTGCTATTAGGGTTGGTGTGAGATTTTATCTCATCAGTGTTTTGAGAATCTCGCTAAAATGATGCAAAAGGTCTAGAGAAGTCTAACAGGTGGATCATGGCTGAAAGCAGAGAATACCACCAGAAAGATGTTCACTTGTATTTTATTAACTATGCAAAAACATTTAACTGAGTGAATGATAATAAATTATGGATAACATTGAGAAGAATGGGGATTCCAGAACACTTAATTGTGCTTATGTGGAACCAGCATATAGACCAAGAAGCAGAGTACCTTCTATATGGTTTTCATCATATTAGTTATTCTTTCTCTTTAGAAAAAGCTTTATTAATATAATTTCATATCTTTCATATATTTCTCCTATGTATACATTTCACTCTTTTTCGTATATATTTACAGAAGGTTTTTGTGTGCCCAGGAGCCAGGACCAACTCATAGATGACACTCAAACAGGTTTTCAGAGGCTGAAAATCACACCCACGGACCTGCTGGTTGATTCAATTTGCCTGGCTTGGGGTTGGCAGTGAAACTCCTTAACACTATCTATCTCCTTTGCATGGCCTTAGCAAACCAGGCAGTGATGATACTCTTCTTGAAACCTGCCTCATGTTTCTTTACAGGGAAATACGAAGATAAATACTTTCAACTGGGCGAAAATCCGTAAGTTGAGCTTCAAGAGAAAGCATTTTCTTATCAAACTTCACGCCAACATCCTGGTAAGTAGCTTTCTAGTGAAATTGTTTTCTTTCTGTGCACTTGGGGGTTGCTTGTAGTTTCTCCAAATGGTTTGAATGCAAATGCTGAAAGTTGACTGGCCCTTAGGGGTGATATGCTTACTCCCCTCTTTTGCATCTGTATAAATAAAACCAGGTCATTTTTTTATTAAAGGTAAAACATTTTTTAAAAGTCAACTGACAGTTCAGAATCAATAAGCTAATTGGAAAATGGGGTGTAAGACAGATCTATTTGGAAACCAATTTTGCAGGGTTTGGATGACTTCAATAAGAGTTGCCAGATGTAGGACTCACACATACTCAGTTGACAGTATTATCTCTCTTTTGTAAAACACAGTCACCTTCTTTCCTTATGCAAAAGCTATTGAATATCTATCATCTATGCTATCACTTCTATCACAACAAAATGGGTGTGTGGGTGTGTGTGAGTGTGTATGTGTATTCACATGTGCGCACACATAAGCAACAGAAGCGATTTTTGAGCCAGGCTGCAATGGACACGTAAGACAAAGGCAATAGAGAGGATGTCCTATTTTTTCATTTTATTTTTATTTTTTTTAAATTAATGACTGTTTACAGAGATTTTGGATTTCCATTCATTCACTGTTGCATTTTTCTCCCTGCCCACCCCTCCCCCTAGTTCGCACTTCTCTTTGAAAAGTAAAAGAAAAATTATTTCATTGGTATAGAATCCCCCCCTCTCCCACCCAGAGTACACTCTACTAGGCAACCTTCATCCTGGAGTCTTGTCATAGCCATAACACCCAATCATATATCACTTCTAAACAGTTCTCTCCCTCATCTGTTTCAATGCAGTATACATTATTTATCCAATTTTTCTCAGTCTCACCCTAACCCTGATGTCAGTCCCGTTCTACAATTGTGGCACTATGCAACACCTGTTCTTTTGTGACTGAGATATTTTGTTCAGCATTATGTCCTCCAGGGTCACCCATTTTGAATAATATTGCATGAGTTCCTTGTTTTTCAATGCAGCGTAGCATTCCATTGTGTGAATATACCACAGCTTCTCTATCCATTCATTTGTTGATGGGCACTTGGGTTATTTCCAACTCCTTGCTACTGTGAACAAAGCCATGATAAACATGGGTGTGCATATATCTGCCTGGGTGGCAGTTATGGTTTCTTTATGGTATATTCCCAGTGGTGGAATTGCTGGATCAAATGGTATTTTTATTTGCAACTTTTTCAGAGAGCACCATACCACCTTCCACAGTGGTTGCACCATTTTACACTCTCAGCACCAGTGAATAAGGGTTCCAGGTTCTCCACAACCTCGCCAGCATTTGTTGTTTATGAGGATGTTTGATTAAGAGCAGATTGTTGTTGTTATTATGGACCATCGTGTTGGAACCGACTCGTAGCTGACCCATGAGCATGTTTTCAGAGGCTGTAAATCTCAATGGAAATTTCCCACCTTTCTCCCACGGAGCCGCTGGTGGATTTGAACCACATACCTTTGGGTTGGCAGTGTAACTCTTTTATCATTAAGCCACCAGGGCTCTAGGTAGGAAATGAAAAACGGAGTAAATGAATTTTTGACCTGCAGAAGATCTAAGCATTTTGAGATATATTTTTTTAAAATAAAAACTTAGCTTTCTATGTTGTTGTTGTTGTTGTTGTTGTTGGGTGTCATTGAGTAGGTTACTACTCGTAGTGAACTTGTGTACAACTGATCAAACCTTGCCCGATCTCACACCGTCCTCATCATCTCCACTTTGCTAGCCCTCATTGTTGCTGTCACTGTATCAGTTTATCCCCCAGGAGATTCTCCTCTCCTTCTCTGATCCCCCACATTTTTGGACCTGACACCTCCTGGGACTGACTGACCCCTCCTGACAACATTTCCAAAGTACACGAGATGAAGTCTCACCTTGCTTGCCTTCCATGGAAGTGTTCATGTGAGCAGTTTAGTAGATCATTTCCAAGTTCAGACAGGTGTTCCAATAGGAGTGAGAGAAGGGAAGCTGGCAGAGTATGTGAGTGAGCTGTGGGTGGGGCTGCTGAAAACGGGGTTGTAAGCATGCATGTACCTTCGGGCTAGTGAGGACACAGTGAGTCAGATGATGGAGGAGACATAAACTTTAGGTCTGAAAGGCCCATTTCTCCTTAAATATGCTAAAGTGTTCTAAATGGGTGATAGTGATCATCATAGAACAAGGCAGCATGAAAAGAAGGGTTTGCAACTGGTCCACTAAAAAAGGCTCACTGACTTGTAATCGTCCTTACAAACCCTACCATCTGTAAAGAAATCCAGCCCGCTTTCTTGTTGGCCATTTACAACTTTTTGTTACCATCAAAGTGTCCTTTGATGTTCATCTGAACCTAATTTACAGCTTCATAAAAATGTTCCTGGCAGAGAACAACACTATGATCCACTGAAGCAAGTGTGCAAAGCGAGATTTCCTTTTCCGAAAAGTCTCTGTTTGTGGACAGTGGCCCTGTCTGTTCCTCAGAAGGTTGCCAATAATTTGGTTTCCCAAGTGAAAAAATCAGCAAGTTGGCTGCACATAGCCCTGGTCTAAGTGTTTGGAAGGGTTTTGGTCATCCTGAAGGATGCTTCATGGAAATTGGTTTATACAGGTGTTATGCAAGGACACGTTGGAGTTCACCATGGCCAGCCGAGACGCCTGCAAAGCATTCTGGAAGACTTGTGTGGAGTACCACGCTTTCTTCAGGCTTTCTGAAGAGCCCAAATCAAAGCCCAAAACCCTCTTCTGTGGTAAAGGGTCCAGTTTCCGCTACAGGTAATTAAATATTGCATGTAGGCAAATCACACACAGAGGCTTTTTCATAACATTTAAAGTGAGAGAAGGAGCTCCAATTTCAGAAGCAATAAAGAATCCATTTCTATCACTTGAAAGATGAGCTACCCTTCACCACTCATTCCATGTATGGCGTATCGTCAATGTTTCCCTACTTGAAGGCCGAGAGAGGGTCGGTCCACCTGGGATCCTTGGGTCAAAATCTCTGCAAAGTCTGGGCGTGAAAGATACAACTTGAGAAAGCATGGTCAGGGAACTTACAGTTTTCCTTATAGGCAACTTCCACGCAGCCTGAGGAAATGAACACTCACCAACATCCCTTACGAGGTGGTTAGGCTATGACAGGGGTTGTTGTTGCTGTGTGCTTTCGAGTCAGAGCCAAAACAGAGGTGACCCTCTAGTGGATTTTCAGAGGCAGTAAATTGCCATGGGAGGAGGTTGCCCATCTTTTCCCCATGGAACAGCTGGTAGATTTGAACCACGTCCTTCTGGTTTGGGAGTGTGATTCCTTGCCACTAAGCCACCAGAGCTCCCTTTTGTAGGAGATCAGGGATTGAGACTATGGAGCTGTTTCGCACCAGATGATCCTCACGACAGCCAGCCCCTTGGAGGAGTCAACTCCCAGTTGGTTTTATTTGAAGGTCAAAGAATTCTTTGGAAGAAGCTTTCAGAATGCTTGAAGTAAAAAAATATAACTGCAATGCTTCCACGTAAGGGCTTTTTCTCATCTTGGAAATGTGCCTCACTTGGGGAAGTCTGCCCCACTGACCGCACTGCTGTCGAGCTGAGCCGGATGATAGTGACTCTCCATCGAGATTTTGAAGTGGTAAGGGGGACTTTCCATCTCCCCCCAGAGGAACTCGCTGGGCTCGAACTGGCCACTGAGCATTACACCACTAAGGATCTTTTTTAAAACATTTACTTTCCCCCATCTCTCGCTCCACTTAATTTTATATTGGTTTGCATACAAGATTCTTATACATTGTTTATCATTCATGTACATTGCATCTCACACATTCCTACAGTGCCGCTGTGTTTCAAACTATCACTCATGGACATTGTGTTTTGTAAAATGATTCACCATTCAGCTATGCCCACCATTATTACCCCGTCTTTTCAGGTCCCCACTGGATCTTTCCTAATTCCTTCACTCCCCAGAGAAACCTTTTTTTAAAAGAAGAAAATGTCTTTTTTTCCTTCTCCATTTAAAAAAAAAATGGAATCTTTAATTGAAGCTTACAAATCATATTGGTGCTTCTCTCAATCATTCACACACATTTTTATAGCATTATTTACTATTGATTAATGTAATTAATTGATTACAAGGTCTGATCAGCCCATTATTGTATGTGGCCTTTCTCGTTACCCACTTTATCTGTGTAAGTCTTTTTCACTCCCCCCTCTCTCCCTTCTAATCCCTCGTAACCATAAAAATGTACATATTTTTAATGGAATCTTTCCAAAGTGGAATCACCAAATCCCTACCCTCTTTAACAGATGATAGGGAGCATATTTTGAAGGTGGCCTGGTAAGACAATGGTTTAATCACCGGGATGCCAATCAAAAAGTTCGCAGTTCGGACCCACCAGCTGCTTTGAGAAAGAAAGATGTGACAATGTCCTTCCATAAAGATTTACAACTTCGCAAGCCCCGTAAGGCAGTTCTGGGCTGTCTGATAGACTCATAATGAGTCAGCATTGACTCTGGCAGTAGGATTTTGGTTTATGGCACATTTATTACCTTTCACTTAATAACCTGAGTTATTATAGGCATCACTTCTTATCTTCTGCTTGAAACTGTGGTGATGACCTCAGAATGTGGTGGGAGAGGCATAGCTGGGTGCCACAGTGATAAATAACACTGACTTTTTGAGCTTTATTATTCTTGTGATTTCTTGTGTTGTTTGGGGTTATTTTCGTTGTTGTTCTGCGCTTCCTTCAGCATTCAGCTGGCTTTCATTGCTAGTGCATGCATGGCTTAAGTAACTCTCTTCTGCTGTTGAATTAGCTGTATTTCTCCTGCCATGCATGGGGGAATGAGATAAACAAACCTCAGTAGAAGGAGTATATAAAGTGAGAGTCAACTGGCTCTGATTTGGATGGAGAGGAAAAAGCCTTTGAAGAAAAGGACTCTTTTTCAAGCCCACACTCTTAAACTGTTAATATAGGCCTTTTTAGAGGCTTATAAAACACCTGTCTGGGTCTCCACCTGACCTCTAATATTCATACACATTGTGTTTCATTCATGTACATTGTGTTTGATACAATCTTTCATTTACATTGTGTCTCATATATAATCATTTATATACCTTATATTTTATATTGTTAATTACTATTGATTTATGTCTATTATCCCATATTCTCAAGTCCCTATTAAATGTTTCCACTAACTTCACCTCCTCATCTACCCACTAACCTTTGCTATCTAGTGATTTCCACCTTTCCCTTTTTTCCTACCTCTTCCCCCTTTTCCCTTCCTCTTTTGGACATTTATATACCTTTTGCTCAGTTATCCTCCTATTTTTTTATATCTTTCTATGTTTACAATAATGGTCTTATGCAGTATTTGTCCTTATAAGTCTGAGTTAGTTCACCCAGCACAATGCTCTCCAGGCTTTCTCTGGGTCTTGAGTAGTTAAGGTTGCTCTATATCTGATCCTCGCTCATCTGGAATTTAGAAGTTTGAATCTAACCATAGAAGCCCCAGAAGAAAGACCAAATGATCTACTTCAGCCACTGAAAACCATATGGGGCACAGTTGTACTCTGACACACATGGCTTCACCATGAGTTTGAATGGACTCCATGAAAACTGGTATTACAGGCTTTGTCTCACTTGTTAATGTTAAGGTCAGAGGTTCATGACATGTACCATTCTCTTGGACTCTCGTGCTTTAAACAAGAAATAAGATTTTCATGCTTCAGTGACCTACTGGCTTAGAATTAGCATTCACATAATACTTAGTGAGAGAACTCAGTATCATATGGACAAGTACTGCATAAGACCATTTTTTTTATAAATAGAAGGATAACTGAGCAAGATGTGTATATAAAGTTTTGAAAGAGGAAAGTGTGAAAAGGGGGAAAGGGGGAAGCACTAAGATAGCAGAGGTTAGTGGGTGGATGGAGGGGCATGAAGGAGTAGGAAAGATTCAATGGGGGCTTGAAAAGATTGAGTAATAATAGGCATAGATTAGTAGTACTTAATGAAAAAATATAAAGTATACGAATGATCGTGTAAAGTCCAATGTAAATGAAAGATTGTATAAAACATCATGGACATTTAGAATAAAACAATAAAAAATATGATTTGCTAAGTGAACTAACTCAGTCCCATAAGGATAAATACTGTATAAGACGATTATTGTAGAGCAAATATGAGGATTGGTGGGAGGGAGAGCATAGGGCTGAGGATGGGGGAAGGGGCATTAATTATACAGGTCCCACAACTTGGTGAATGGGAGGTGGTGCAGAAGGAAATGGGAAAGATCCAGTGTGAAAAACGATGTATACAATCTTTGTAAATAAACCAGTATAAAATAAAAATTTTAAAAAATTAAACAGAAAAAACTATGACTTATCTCCTTTTAATAGTGGAAGAACACAAAGACAACTTTTGGAATATGGGAAAAAAGGGAGGTTGAAGAGTTTGCCATTTGAAAGGTACTTGCTTTTCTCTTTCTGTGTCTCATACTCATTTTAAGTTGAATTTAGAGCTTGATATGTATCTTAGTATTCACATAAAAACCCTGGAAATGACTAATCTGTTTGGGGATTTCAGGAAACATTATCCATCTCAGTACCATGAACGACAGTGCAGGTCTTCGCCAGACCTCCTCTCGGATGTGTCAAAACAAGTAAGATTTCTGAACATTCCTACTTCTTTAGGTAAATGTAATGCATCTATATGCCAAATGCTTCCAAGAATTGATTCTGTTAGGATCCCCCAGTGTGGACAAAAAAAAAATGTTACTGTAATTTAGCCTCCCAAGGAAGTCTGGCAGCCCAGTGTTTCCAGCTGATAGAAGATCCTTTAGTGAACCTTTTCGAATGGAAGACTCTGGCATATCTCCAAACTGCACCCTATACTGCCCACTTATTGCAAATTGCAGTGCCAAATGAATTTCTATGGTATTGGCTTTTTCAAACTTGCACCCCAGCTTTCCCACCTATGCAGTTCTGAAGGCTTAGAAGATAGAAAGGCTTTGGCTATTGTTTAAAAGCGTTTTTGCTGTGTGCTTTGGCAATTTGCCTTAAGAATGAAGTATTCTTTCTGTGGAATGGTGAGTTGATGGCTATCTTCTGAGTTTTACAGTGTGAACCAGGTTAAATGTTTTTCTTTTCCTCTCTTTAACAATAAAAGTCCAAAATGCATATTGATTTTAGGTCCCATAAACTTTTATGTCTTTGTTTTGGTCTTTGTTGAAGTCAGAAATTTTTGTATGAAAAACATGATAGAAGTATAATGATAGGAGTGACATACCACCTATCCCTCATGCTGTCCACAACCCTTTTTATTACCATTTCATAGAAAATGGGGAGGTGGCTCGACCAGGGCGCTTAGGAGATTTGCTTGAGGGCAGCAAGTCCAAGTCAGAGCAAGACGAGAATTCAGACCTCCTAACTGCTAGTCCTTTGAAATAATTACTATACTACTTAAAATTCATCTGTATAAACTCTGAGTTTGGGAATGGGGTGACATTGAGAAGGAATAGTGTCATATATGTTTTCTAACATATGAATTGTATTAGGGTAGAAATTATTACTATATATGTTGTTGTTGTGCTATGAGGTATTGTGCTCTTGAGTTGGAGCCGGCTCCTGGCTGACCCTCCAGTGGGTTTTCAGAGGTTGTAAATCACATGGGAGGAGAATGCAGCTTGCCTTCTTTGGGTTGTAAGCACAGCTCCTTACTACTAAGCCACAAACACTCCAAGTATAAATATTATATTTAATATATTAAAGATATAGAATTTTAAATATGCACACGCACGTGCGCGCGCACACACACACAGAGTGAGTTTTGGTGGCCTAATGGTAAGAACTCTGAGAAGAATGGGAATCCCAGAACACTTGATCGTTCTAATGCGAAACTTATACTTGGACCAGGAGGCAGTCGTCAAAACAGAGCAAGGGAACACTGCATGGTTCAAAACTGGGAAGGGTGTACGCCAGGGATGCATCCTATCTCCATACCTTTTCAACCTATATGCAGAACAGATTATCCGGGAGGCTGGGCTCTATGAGGAGAAATGTGGGGTCAAGATTGGTGGACGATTTATCAACAATCTGCGTTATGCGGATGATACAACCCTGCTTGCTGAAACTGAAGAGGACCTGAAGCGCCTGCTGCAGAGTGTCAAGGACTGCAGCCTCCAATATGGATTGAGGCTCAATGTCAAGAAAACAAAGATTCTCACCACTGGACCAATTGGCAGCATCAGGATGGATGGTGAAGAGATTGAGATTGTCCACAGCTTTAGTTTGCTTGGCTCCATAGTCAACAGTCTTGGCACCAGCAGCCAGGAAATTAAAAGGCGCATTGCCATGGGAAAGTCTGCTGTTAGGGACCTCTCCAAAGTACTGAAGAGCAATGGTGTCTCTCTAGAGATTAAGGTGCGCCTGATACAGGCCATGGTCTTTGCAATCACCTGTTATGCATCAGAGAGTTAGACAATGACCAAGGAGGCTAGAAAGAGAATTGATGCCTTTGAGCTGTGGTGCTGGAGAAGAGTATTGAGAATACCATGGACTGCTAGGAAAACAAACAGATTTGTCCTGGAAAGGGTTAAACTGGGTGGCTCCTTGGAGGCAAGGATTCTGAGGCTCCGTCTAACATACTTTGGACATGTTGTGAGGAGAGATCGGTCCTTAGAGAGGGACATCATGCTTGGAAGGGTGGAGGCACAGCGCAGGAGAGGAAGGCCCTCTATGAGGTGGATTGATTCAGTGACTGGGATAATCGGGATGGGAGTGTCAGAGACAGTGCGATTGGCACAGGACAGAGCGGAGTTTAGGGCTGTTGTACATAGGGTCGCTATGAGTCGCAAGCGACTCGATGGCACATAACAACAACAAATGGTAAGAAGCTGCGCTCTTATCCCAAAGGCATGTGGTTTGAATCCACCAGCTGCTCCATGGGAGAAGGATGGAGAATCTCCTCCTATGCTACTTACTGCCTCTGAAAACCCACTGGAAGGTCAGCGATTTATCAGTTCTGACTTTCTCTGTGTGTTATTTGTATGTTGATATATATCTATATAAATCTCATGTATCTCTGGTGCCCCAGTGGCAAGAGGCTGCACTGCAATCACGAAGGCATGCAATTCAAGGCCACCAGCTACTTAGTAGGAGAAGGATAGACAATCACTTCCCATGAGATTGACTGCCTCTGAAAAACCTACCAGAGGGTCAGCTATGGGTGGGTTCCAACTTGACAGTACATAACAACAAATATTTTTATATATGATACATATAGATAGAAATATATGTATATATGTATGTACGTATATAGATATATGGTGCGCCTGATACAGTGACTAGGAAGGATAGAAGGAGAATTGATGCCTTTGAGCTGTGGTGCTGGAGAAGAGTATTGAATGTACCGTGGACTGCTCAAAGAACAAACAGATTCATCCTAAAGAGGGTTAAACCAGGCTGCTCCTTGGAGGCAAGGATTCTGAAGCTTCATCTGACATATTTTGGACATGTTGTAAGGAGGAACCAGTCTTTGGAGAGGGACATCATGTTTGGGAGGGTGGAGGGACAGCGCAGGAGAGGAAGACCCTCAATGAGATGGATTGAGTCAGTGGCTGGGATAAAGGGAATAGGTGTGTCGGAGATGATGAGATTGGCACAGGATAAGGCAGAGTTTAGGGCTGTCATACATTGGGTCACTATGAGTCGCAGGCAACTCGACAGCACATAACAACAAATATATAGATATGTATGTATGTATATAGCTAGATATGTATATACATATGTTGTTGTTGTTGTTAAGTGCCATCGAGTCGCAGGTGACTCATAGCGACACTATGAAGGAGAGTCCTCGATGCTTGGGTGCTTTTCATCCTCTCTCCAGGTTCATCGGGTTTCCGGAGGCAAGCTATTATGGAAGTAGATGCCACTCCTCCTTCCAAGTATATACATATATACACCACAAATACATATAAATAGCACAGATTGAAATGAGTCTGAAACACTCTTGCCAAAATTCAGTTAATTTCAGGGCCCCCTTCTCTCCAACCAAATGCCTTTTCCTTCTTCACCAGCATGTGCTTTCTCTCCAGGTGGAAGATCTGAAACTAGCCTACGGCGGTGGCTGTTACCGAAATGTGAATGGAGTGCATGCCTCTGAGCCGGTGCTAGACAGCAGGAGGAGGAACTCTGCCGTGGACGTGACCTTCGCAGCAGAGCTGGAGCGCTCTAAACCAGAGGCTGATCCCACCCTGCTGCATCAGTCCCAGAGCAGTTCCTCTTTTCATTTTATGTATACAGATTCTGTCTTTAACCCTGATCCTGATTCTGACACTGACTTCTTTGAGGAGAAGAGCCCACTAAGCTCCTTCCAAACAAGCTATAAGTTTGCTGACAATTACATGAATACACCTTCTGGCCTCACAAGCAAAGTGAGTCCAGCAAGGCAGCTGACTTATACAGATGTGCCCTACATTCCCTGCACCAGCCAGCAGGTAGATATTATGCCTCCCCAAGTCTTTTTTTATGTGGACCAGCCACCCCAGGTGCCCAGACGGTCTCCAATCATGACAGAGGAAAGGGAAAGGCCAGAGAGTTATCTAGAACCCTCTTCAGTGAAACCAGCTAAAAGAAGTCCAAGGAACATCAGAATGAAGAGCTTGCAGCAAGACTTGCAAGAACTCCAAGAAGCTGTGGCAAGGACTAGCGGGAGGAGTAGCATTAATGTGGATCTCGAAGAGGAAGATCCAATGTTAGAAGATGCATTTGCATGTAACCCTCGAGAGCTAACTCCTAAAAGGTCCCAGAGTCATTCAGATATGAAAACTATCCGTTTTCCTTTTGGGTCTGAATTTAGACCTTTAGGGCCTTGCCCTGCTCTGAGCCGTAAAGCTGACCTATTTACATACATGTTTGCAGAACAGGAGCTTCCAGGAGTTCTAGTGGGTCAGGGGGCAACAGAAAGATATGTAGCTAGTGAATCCAGTGATTCTGAATCAGAGATTCTTAACCCAGACTACTACTCCCTGTATGGTAAAGGAATAAAGTCTCCCATGGCCAGAATCCGCCTGTCTTCTGGAAGTCTACAGTTAGACGAAGAAGATGAAGATGCTTCCTTCAACACATCAAGTGCTGAAGACAGGACTTTGCTAAAACCATGCAATTACTTTTTAGCCTAATATTGTGAACTCTATGAGCACTTCTGGGCCAGTTCCATAGGATCACCTTAGTCTCAAAAGGAGGAACCTCTTTGTTTAAGCCATTTTCATAGTGACTATTAAGTGGCATTAAAGGAATTTCTAATTTTGAATTCCTGGCTTACCAAAGAGCCAGCTCCGTTCCTCCAAAGGCATCATTGCTAGAGCTCCACTCTGCTGTTCCATCTGACAGGACTCAGGAACACGCCTTCTCCCTACTAGCACCGGGTCAAGGTGACAAGGACAACTGTCATCACCATTGTGCATTTTCTTGGAGACATTATAAAGGAAATCCAGGCCCTTCAACACTGAAGAATGGCAACAAAATGGGCTGGCATATGGAATTGAGTTCTCACGTTACGTAGTGATTCAGTAGACATTGACAGTGTTGATGCTTCTCTTCAAACTATATGTTCTTAAAACAATACTTGGACTAAACGTTTCGGTCATCTTTATTGTGTGTGGGCCCCGTACAACTGGTCTTGTTATATGTTAAGGACTTCAATTTTTATTACAAATACATAGGATGACCATGGCCTTCCTACAACCTCAGGAACAAGGTGGTTGCATAAATCATCTCAGCAGAACCCACTCTGAGAATTAATCTAGGATTTGGCAGAATTTTTAAGCCTAGGAAATTAGTAAATTCAATCTATTTCTAAAGCCAGGTCTGTGTTTGATAAGGATATTATGATGCTTGACTTACAAATTCTCTTTCTATTCCTAAATAGGTAGTGAAAGATAAAAGGCTGGTTTATTCTGATACACAAACAGAAACACACATATTGCTAGATTGTATTGCATGTATGTAAGCAAGGAAATGGATGGATGTTGTTTTTAATAAAACATAATGGAAAATCCATTTTGTTTATGAAGATGATGCTTTATAAGGATGGGCTTCCTTTTGTTTCTACCCATTTCACACATCATTGGTTCTGGCCTATGGCTAAGGGAGGAGGCAGTTACAGAACAAAGAAAAGAAGAGAGGGACTGGTGGAAATATCTTTGATCAGGGTGCAGACACAGTAGCGTTGAGAGTGGGCTAAAAAGCATAAAGATAGTACTGAATTCAGGCTGAGTTCATAAGCCAAAATTCTAGTCTTAACTCATTTTGCACTGTTGTTCCAGCATTCTTCTATTTGGGAACTCTATTTTGTGTATTGATTTCAATTTTAAGTGCAGTGATGCAATTATACAGGCAAGTTTATCTTTTGTTCAGAGGGTCGCAATGAGTCGTTGTTGGCTTGATGGCATCTAACAACTACATATATAAACTTGTAGGCAAAAAGATGAAATAGTTCCCTTACATTCCTACTTCTTACATCTGAATCTTCTTTTGATCTCCTTTGTTCCATTCCTTGCCCACATCCTAGTTACTCCCTGTTCTGTTCCTGACCTCATATGTAATATCACATTAAGTTCATCTTCAAACTTTTCGCCAGGGGGGAAAAAAATCAAAGCCAAAACAAACCTCAGATTCCTTTATTGCATATGGCACTCCTTAGTTCAATCTCTAGAAATCTTTGTTAGTTTATATGCTCCAGGGAGTAAAACAAAGTTCAAATCTATGTTATATACTAATAAAGCTATACTTGAAAGCTATAATTAGGATGGCCACATAATTTATTTCCACTTCAGGACCATTTTTTAGTTAAAGGGGGCTCCACCTCTTTTGCCAGGAAGGGAGGCAAAAACTGGGGCAGAAGTTCACTTTAGTTATAAATAATGCTTAATGTGAAGAGTATCTTGTCATTTTCACTGTTCCAACAATAAATAATGCTCCACCAGTAAACTAAAGTGCAATGAGGGGAAACTGAAACCATTAAAATACCACACCACCCCCCCTTCAATGAAACAAACACTGAGGAAGTTCAAATATTTATTTTTAAAACACTCAAAACACTGAAGAGTGCCTCACCTACAGTTTTCAGGACAGATAACAATAATAGATAAGAAGCCATACAAATTGTACCTGTGATGCAGCCATGTCTTACCATTTCAAGAGTTGATTTATAAATGTGTTGCATCTACAAAAATAGTGATTTACCTCTACAGATTACAAATTGTAACTGAGTTGCAACACAGGCAGTGAAAATTTTAATTGATCAATTACTTCAAAATACAAGGCATTAAGAAAGATTGTCACAGTATAGGCACAGATGAAAATCATTTTATTGGCATGTGATACCACAACATCTTGTAACATTTTCAAGAGGGTGCAATGGCCACTGAGGGGAAAAACTGTTTCTTTACTCGTACAACATCTTCACTTTCGAATTTGGCAATGACGTGGACTTAAAAACAATGACTTGTGCAAATCTAAACATTAAAAGCTTAACTATTCAAACTGATCAACATCAATAATCCTACAACTACTGAAATATAGCCCTAGTTCAAGACTTGGGCACCATATATATATACTGAGCTTAAAAGAAAATGGTATTACCTACAAAACAGTACCATAAATATAACTGAATATTAACTGTACAGCCTAACTTACCTTTGAATAGACAGAAACCATCTCATACTATAGTTTTCACATGAATTAGAAAATGTTCCTTTAAATAGCCTTTCAAAAATGAACAAATGATGCAGATGTATCATTAATTATGAAGAACAAAAAAGTATAAATAGTGCACTCGAACAGTTTACTACCATGACAAAAATATGCTTGTGTAAAATATATCAGCTTTTTCCAAAATCCAAGCATGTAATAGGCAATTTTAGTTGGGTTATTTTAACAAATTAAACCAGAAAAATTTATCCAGTATTACCAAATGGCATGTTAAATAAGAGTTAAGTGCCTCTTCTGAAAGGGAAGATATAAATATTGCATACCAGAGTAAATACTACATGTTGTCTGCAAATGACTTCAAGGCAAGTCTCTCAAATATGATAATCATTGAGCTGCCCAGAACATCGTACTAATTTGCTAGAAGAAATCAATACTTTATCAACCTTTATTTCTTAGGGCTTTTTCAAACCTCCTGGTTTAAGAAGACAGGACTTATTTCCACACACGACCAGTAGTCATTTTTAGAATATGATTGTATATTAAAAAAGAGAGAGTTTTTCGATGCTCCGTAATGGACAAGGACTGACATTCTGGATAACTCTGACAACTCTGCATGTTTCTTAAGTGTATAGGTAAATAAGAAGCAAAATATGAAAGGTACTCATCCTAGTCACTTACGTAATGATGACACCTAAAAGCGAAGCTGGATCTCAACCTCTACTACAATACAGACAAAACTATTTTATTCAAAGTTACTCCTTACAAAATAATCTCTTCACAATAGAAAATGATAAACATGATGACAAAATAATAAAAAATGTTCTTCTAAATCTTCCATCACAAATACGTTGTAAAGATCCACAAGGCACATGGACTTTATGAGTAAAGCACTGTTAAACTCGAAGTAACGTCTGTGGGTTTCTCTGGATTCGTAGGCAACACAAGCCAATCATAAGGTGTTTCTTAAGAGGATTCATCTGCTGCACACCTGGAAAATGTATTTCAGAAAACACCTCTTAAATCAATGCAATAGTATACATGTTTATATTTCTCATCTGTATGAACTGTGCAATGAAAGAACTAATTTCATAAACGAGGTACATTCTTTTCTCTTGACTCTCATCTATCTGTAGATGTTCAAACACATTTCAGAACTCACTTCTCTATCTGACTAGGCAATTTCCAAATGATTTGTTTGCATTTGGAAAGTGGAGGGGGAGTTTGCCATCAAAATCAAAGGGATTTTATCTTCCCTCAATGAAAGCATTGTAAGAAGGGCTTGAATATGCAGGGTTTAGGGCTATTATACATAGGGTCAACTCGACGGCACATAACAACAACAACAATCAAATAGATCTATGTAAGTATATGCTTTTATAGACTATACAGCTGGTTTCCACTTTATGTAAGTGACATCATAAATACAAAGAAACGCAAAAATGGACTGAGCAGAGATAAAATGGGGTTAAGGCTATAATTAGTGTACTTCATAATACTTAGCTTGAGCTAAGAGGTATAATATGGAGAGGGTTAAACTAGACTGCTCCTTGGAGGTAAGGATTCTGAGGCTCCGTCTGATATACTTTGGACCGGCCCTTGGAGAGGGACATCGTGCTTGGAAGGGTGGAGGGACAGCGTAGGAGGGGAAGGCCCTCTATGAGGTGGATTGATTCAGTGACTGGGTAATCGGGATGGGTGTGTTGGAGACAGTGAGACTGGCAAGTGATAGAGGAGGGTTTAGGGCTGTTGTACATAGGGTTGCTATGAGTCACAAGGGACTCGACGGTACATAACAACAACATGTATGCATACAAATGTCTTGTTTAAAAAGAAATTTTAAATTTAACATAAGGATTTTATTTTTTAATGTGATTACAGTTACTAGTTCTAAGAGGCAATATAGAAATAGAATGGAAACGTAAAAATCTTCTCTAAATTAAAACAACTATGAGATGTCATCTCACCCCAGGCAAAACAGCAAAATTTAACACAGAACAGCAAGCAACAAATGCTGGCGAGGTTGTGGAGAAAATCTTCTCTAAATGGTAATGGGCCCTTCTAGACAAAATTCTTCCCTTAACTTTTTGTATGTAGGCAAAACTTGGCATCATACGCATTGGAAGCTATATGAAGAGTGTGTTTCTTCAAATGGTGAAGGTAGTGACAAGAAAGCAAGCAAGCTTTCCTAGATGATATTTCTTAAACCTTCCACCACCAAGTAGATTCTGGCTCATAGTGATGCTGTACGGGGCTTCAGAGGTTCTCAAGATGGGAGGGGACCGCCCACCTTGTTACCCCCAGAGAGTGTCTGGTAGAGTTGAACCATGGACCTTTCAGTTAGCAGCCTGATACACGCACTATGTCACCAGAACTCTTCAGATGATGTTTACAAGTGACCAAATAAGGATATGCTTGGTCACCATTTGTCTATAGTCTCAGCTAGCAGGGAAAAAGCAGGGAGTTCTGGTGGCTTAGTGGTAAGGATTTGCACAGACAACCCCAAACCACATGGTTCAAATCCGCCTGCTGCTTCATGGGAGAAAGATGGACAACCAATCTCCTCCTGTGCAACTCAGTGTCTCTGAAAACTCACTGGAAGGTCAGCTATAAGTCAGCTCTGACTCAGTGGCGTACAACAAACAGCAGGAAAAAGAAAAACAAAACAAAAGAGATCTTTTCATTCCATGGAAAATGGCTGTGTAATGTCTGAAAACTAATAGTTGTGAAAATAACACAAAGCAAATACAAAGGCAAGATCTCTCTTGGAGCTCAAATCCAGTGGCTACACCACGGCAGAAAGGTGGGCAATCTCTTCCGATGCAGCTTACAGCCCTTGCAAACCTGCTGGAGGGTCAGCCATGAGTTGGCTTCTCATTACCAGGGGCCAAAGGGATATTTAAGACAGTCAGTGGATACCACTACTCAAAGGCACATGACCATTAAAAAGAGATTTTGTGCAGTAAAAAGTTTTAACAATGGAAAGTGCCTTTGTTAGAAATAATATATCAAAAAAATTAAAAAAAAAAGAAATAATATATCAAAGAAATGATACTACATCATAAATTAACATTTAAGAGGTTGTACTAGGAAAATGTTAAATGACATTTGAAGCTTACTTTTGAAATTTTTCAATCAATTTCTTCACCATTTTATCAGTAATGCCAGGACATGCGGCCTCAGCCACAATGATACTCTTCTCCAGCTCTTCAATAGCCTGGTTACGGATCACATTGTTCTCATCCTGCTGTTTAAGCTGAGAAAAGACCAAAAGATAAAACACAGAAACAAACAATCAAAACCCCCCCACTCTACACCACTTAAAAGAGATTTCCAAAATTAACGGAACTGTGCTTACCTCAGCAAATGCAGGTGTGATGATCATGGACAAGCAGCTCAGGGTTTGCACGAAATCTTGCTCCTTTGAATAATATTGTTTAATATGTGAAAAGGAAAATGGTTATTCGTGGTTTTTCTTTGTTACTGTATAACATTATGCATTAATAATTTGTTTAGTATTTTCAGGGACTTATTTGTTGTAAATACTTTTTTTCTTTTTTACTCAAAAAGAATTTAATGCAGAGACAGGCAAAATACAGAGACCAATGCTGGATTTAAGGATTCACTGAACAAATGACAACAGTAAGCAGTTCCACTAAACTCTGAGGTTAAAATTCAAACTTAAACTCATTTAAGACCAATAAATGCTTCTTTAGTCTTGAATTAAAAAAACAAAACACAACACACACACACACACACACACACAACCCCAAAAAAACCCACAAAAAACAAAACACAAACCCACAAGCACAAACAAACTACAACAGACCAGTTAGGATGGAAGGACTTAATGAGTTTGAAAATGTGTTCTCTGAAATGACTTTTTTTTTAAAAATGGAAATGGATATTTACAGCAACGTAATGGAATATACAGGAAATTCCATAGAATGTACAGATAGAAAATTAGAATTGCTAAGTGACTTTAGCAACATTAATAGAAGGTAGTGTTACAAGATTCAATGATAATATTCAGGTAGTTTGGTTGTGGGTTTTTTTTTTTTAAATTTTATGCTGGTTGGTTTACAAAGTTTAAAGACATTATTTTCACTCCAGATCTTTCCCATTTCCTTCACACCCCTCACCCCCAAATAGGGTCGCAAATACCTTCATTAATCCCTCTCCTCCCTCAAATGGTCTTGTATATAGTGCAAGTCCTAACGCTTCCTCTCCTCACCGATTCCCATTCATTATCTCTGGTGGCTCAGTGGTAAAGTGCACTGCCAACCCAAGGGTGGGTGGTTTAAATTCACCAGCTGCTCTGCAGTAGGATGATGGGCAATCCCCTCTCATGCGACTTACCTCTGAAAACCTGCTGCAGGCTCAGCTACGGGTCAGTTCCATCCCGAAGGTACTCAACAACATCCAAAAAGCCTCTAACTTCTAGTATTACAATGCTGTTGCTGTTCTTGGTTGCCATGAAGTCACGGTGACTCCATGCACAATAGAATAAAATGACGTCCCTGTATCATCCTCAGGAGGCCTGGACTATTGTGATCTCTGGAACATACGCTGGCTGATTTTGGAAGTAGATCGCCAGGCCTTCCTTCCTGGTCCATCTTAATCTGGAAGCTCTGCTGAAACCCGTTCAGCATCATGGCAAAAGACTGGCCTCCACCAAGAGATGGAAAGAATTCTACCACTAAACTACTAATGCCTCACAAATATAATATATAGCTATCAATCCACTGGGTCAACAAACTGCATGGAAAGGGTAGCAATTACCACTTAAAATGACTTCTATTACCTTTTCTTAATTAACTCCAAGCTAAAGAAAAAAAAAAATGAAGCACAGTACGTACCACATTGAGGCAGACAGATATTTAAGGTTACTAAATTCTACCAATTTTTGGCCACCACAATCTCACTCCACAGATTGAAAAAGACATAAGCACAGTACGTACCATATTGAGGCAGACAGGTTTTCAAGGTTACTAAATGCTAACAATTTCTGGCCACCACAATCTCACTCCACAGATTGAAAAAGGCCCCCAGGGGGCAGGGATGGCACCTATGTACATACCGCTCCATTCTGTAGTTTTTTGGGATCAGGCTTCTTCCGCACTGTGGTAAAGCTCCATTCAGGATGCATACTGCTTTCCCTGCTGCTGGACTCCCTACAGAGATTGCCAAAGATCCCTTGATAAGTTGCTAAATAATTCAGCTTGATGAAAGCACTCAATCACAGTAGCCATGAGCTGGTGAAGAGGTTAATTGCCCTTGATGCATTGTTTTGCTTTTTAAAATAACAGTGTGTTTAAAATCACCAGATCTCATATGCAGGCGGATGCCACTGCTAGCAATATCACTTGCAGTCGCTTCTTATAGATGCTTGTTCTCCACACCCTCCCCTCTTCCCACTGACTGATCCAGCATCTACAGCCTTGTGGCTTATGATTTTTTTAAACAGTTCTATGAGGGACTCCTATGGCAGCGAAGGTGAACCACCACTGGAAACAGGGTAAAAACATCCTGGATTCCCCCCCCCCCAAAACCTATGCAATATCCTTCTTTTTTATTTTCTTTTTAAATTGTGGGACAAATCTATACAACAAAACAGTTACCAAACTCATCAACTTTTTACACGGTAATTCAGTCACAATGATTACCTTCTTTATTTTGTGCAACTGTTAGAAATAGCCGTTTCCAATATATTTTATCACTATTAACAGAAACCCCATGCCCTGAAAGAGTAAACTTCCCTGTCCACCGCTAGTAACCACCAGTAAGTCTGGGTCCTACATATTTGCCAGTTGCAGTTAAGTGGCCTCAGCAAATGTAGGTGTGATTATTATAGACAAAGAGCTCAGGGTTTGCACAGAGATGATACAATATTTCTCCCTCTGCGAATGACATTGTTAACTTAGCATGATAGTCTCAAGCGTCATCTATGCTGTGGCATGCATCACGACGTTATTTCTGCTCCTGTACATACATGTTATAAACATATATGTGCCACATTTTGTATGTCTATTTATCATCCACTTATGGACATTTCAATTGTTTCCAACTTTTAAAAAAGCTATTGGGAATCATCCTCCAATGCATATTGCATTGGCGTGGAGGTTTCTGTTTGTGTTCCTGCATTTCAAATATTTCAGGTATGACAATTTCTTATAGGTGCAGAAATGGGAAGGAATTATTCAAAAGAATTAAAGGAATTCACTGCTGCTTAGCCAGTGGAAGAGTAAGTCGTGGTGCAGCCGGCAGACTTTCTTAGTTGGAATTAAGCTAGGGACTTCAGAGGCTGCATTTGTCATGTAAATACTATAGTCACAAAACATTAACTTTTTCAGGGAGTAAAAATCGTATAGCAATGAATACTCAAATGTGCCAATCTGGTGATGGTTTGGTACATGGCAAAAGGTAAGAAAGTCTAGAAGTCAGTTTTCCAGAGAACTTGTTCAGGGGATCAGCCAACTATGAAAAGATACTACTCATTAATACTTTGAACAAATGAATGCAAGTTCCTCAATTTAATCTTGGTCTCAAAATTTGTAATATACTCCAGCATCCACTAGGGGTAACACTGAGACCACTGAAATCTAGAGCTAGTCACTCCCGAGGAAGACGTTTCCCAAATCATTTCTACTCCACAAACTCTGATTCAAGATTTTCCCATTTGCTCTGGCAAAACCTTGGAATATGGCTGAGATTTTAGGTGCAAGCGTGAGCTTATTGGATAACAGCTAATGTAACATGAGCTGCTATTACCAAAAACTTAAACTAATTGTACATACGAATCTGAGCTCTCGGAATCCGATTCATCATCACTGTGTCCTTCTGCCTTCCATCTCTTGAATCGATCGATGAGTTCGGTCAAGTAAGACGTTTTCTTTGAGTTTTTCACAATGAATTTGTGTTTCAGAAGTTCCTTAGCAGTAGGGCGCTAAAGAAATTTTTAAAAAGGGAGATAATGAATGTTTTTAGGCTCATGATAAGAAATAGTAAGAAGCCATGTGGATGAAGTGGAGAGGTACAGCTTTCAAGGACAACTAAAATGGTGTTCTATAACAGCTAATTCTAATTTTGAAGCGTCTCAGACCTTGGTTACCAGTCTCTTAAGCCCAATAGACAAGATGTGACCTCCCAACCCGAAAGCTACCAAGGCAGGGCCTACGCACAAGCAGAGAAACACATGGCAGGGTTTAGAAAAGAGGGTAAAAATGTAATGACATTTCAAAATAGGGCTTAAGGTATTTGTGTCATATTTATCATAAAATGAAAAAATAAAGGAAATGAGTCAGTCTGTGACTTGGTTATCATCTATCTATACAGACTCAAGAAGATGCAGGAGAAGGAGCAAAGGAACTCTGGATCTTGTTAAGAACTGTCTTGTCATTGCTGTTGTTGGATCCTGTCGACTGGATGATGACCAATGGCTCTGAACCCTGCCCTATCCTGTGCCGCTCTCCTCATCTTTGATGTCCCTGAGCGCATTGTTAGAGTCGCTGAGACAATCGATCTTGTTAAAGGTCTTCCTCTCTTTCACTAAACCTCCACTTTTCCCACCCTACAGTACGTGAGGCGAACCCTCACCATTTGTGCCTCTAAGGAGCAGCCTGGTTTCCCTTTCTCCAAGACGTAGGTGCTTGTTCTTCTTGGCAATCCTCATTTCCAACACCACAGCTCAAAGGCATCAATTCTTTTAATGTCATCCTTACTCACTAACTCAGATGCAGAGCAAGTAATTAATTGAAAAGACCATGGCTTGGATCAGGAGAATCTCAAGTCTCTGTGCTGACCTCATCGCTCCATAGCATCTTAGAGAGGTGCTTGACAGTAGCTTTTTCCAATGCAACACATCTTTTGATGTTTGGACTGTTGGTATCAAGGGTATTGACTAGAATTTGTGATACAGAGGGAAGAACCAGGTTCCTGAATGACCTCAGACAATTTCCACACACATTCTACACCTCACTGGAGAAAAAGCCACCTAGGTCGCATGCAGACCTAATGATAGAAAAGAAACAGTAGTGACAGCAGTGTATACTCACGAATGCTGGATCTTTGTTCAAGCAAGCATCAACGAACTCCTTGAAGGACCTGCTGAATTCTCCGATAAGAGTTGGAGGATTGTTTTTGGGAATAAGAAACAGAACTCTCATTGGATGCATGTCAGAGTTAGGTGGCTCTCCTTTGGCAAGTTCAATAGCAGTGATTCCCAAAGACCAGATGTCAGCCTAAGGTAAGAGAAAGAAAAGAAGCATCACCTCAAAACTCCATTCCGACAGACTGCCCACAAAATATCCTGTGGAATTAATGTAGCTCAAGAAAATGCAGTATTAATAGACATTTACTAATAGAATTCGTTCCTTGGAAAGGGACACCATGCTTGGAAAGGCGGAGGGACGGTGAAGAAGAGGAACAGCCTCAACCAGGTGGACTGACTGACATAGTGACTGCAACAAGTCTGTCAAGAAATGGGGAGGATTGTGCAGGATAGAACGGGTTCGTATGTGCTGTTCATAGGGTCCCTGTGGGTTGTACTCAACCTGAAGGCACCTAACCACAAGAACAGAGAAAAATACAGACATTTATTGAATTTTGTGTTGTGTGCCAGGCATCAACCTAGGCAGCAGGAATTCAGACCGTGACTAAGACAGACAAAAATCTCTGCTCTTCTATCCTAGAAGGGGAGACCTATAAGTAACTATGTAACACAATGAGAGATGTGTGCTAAGTTCTGTGAGGAACATAAGCAGGGCAAAACAATAATGAATGACAGGGCTAAGGGGCGGCAAATCCCCACAGGGTGATCAGGAAGGGTAATATTTAAACAGATACCTGAGTGGGAGGAAACCAAAAACCTCAAGGAAGTTCTGCCTTAAAGCAACCCTCCAGTGAGCTGCCACAACTAAAAATCTGTCCAGGAAGAGAGGAGCAGTCGATGGATTCAAACTGCCACACCTGTGGTTAGCAGCCAGATTTAACAGAGTGAAGGGTCATTTAAAACAGAAAAGAGCAAATGTAAAGAAAGGTCCTGAGGCAGACTGTGCTTTCCATGCATGAGGAACAGCAAAAGACACAGACGCACTGTGGTTGCAGCAGAGAGGATCAAGATGAGGAGGGAGGGAGGGAGGGAGGAGAGGATCAAGATGAGGAGGGAGGGAGGGAGGGAGGGGGGAGGAAGGAAGGAAGGAAGGAAAGAAGCCAAAGGTCAATCAGAGAGAGCCTCAAAATTAACAGGAAGGATACCCGGGATTTTACTCCAAGGGTAATGAACATCCATCAAAGGGAATGTTAGCAACATCAAGGAAAGTTCATTAGCAAAATCTGACAAGCTTTTAAGCTTCAATCATGGGCTGTCTTGATTTTCATTTCAAGGTCTTGAAATGAAAATCAAGACAGTCCATGAAACAGAACAGCACAGTGCATAAAACTTATTATAAGCAAAAGTTTACTCCGGTAAGCCCTTACTTTTGAGTCATAAGCAGACTGTTGAATAACTTCAGGAGCCATCCAAAATGGTGTTCCCACAAAGGTATTTCTTTTAATCTGTGTATCTGTCAGCTGGCCAGCAACTCCAAAGTCAGCAAGTTTGACATCTCCTTGTTCTGAGAGCAAGACATTGGCAGCTAGGAGGCAAAAAACCCAGGAATGATGAAACCCAGCTTCCACAGAATGCATCTATTTTTCTCAAGCTCATCAGAAGGCGTTTGTGTACCTTTTATGTCCCGGTGAATTTTCTTCTCTGAATGCAGATAGTCCAGACCTTTCAAAATCTCTTTTAGCATGGTAGCAATCTGGAACTCATCAAATGGGCCAGCTCGAAGCTGGGGGAGGGGAACACAGAGACAGGCATATAAAAGTTTAGAAAACCAAAGTTCAAAATTGATAGCATCTTCAAATAATGGGATAACATAACTACACAAAGTCTTTCTACTTCTTAAACATGAGAGGCAACTTCTACAAGGTGGGGGAGAAATGAAATTATTATGTGATTTGCAAACTTTCAATCAAAATTTGTAATAGGGAAAAAAAATTTTAAAAGTGGGGAGAGAGAATAAAAGAGCCAAGGGCTTAAGAGGCTTTTAAATTTATGTTTAAATGCATTTCAATCACTCACTCATGTACATTTTATTTGATTACTTTCATTACATTTAATCAGTGCCATTATTTACATCTTTGCTGTCACCTCCTTTTCTTTTCACCCTATGCATCTATCTCTGTTCTCAACCCTTCCCCTCCTACCCCTGTCAAACCCTCCATGATTGTTTCTATCTGTATGTAACCTTTTCTTTAGATTGATTCTCCGCCCACCACCACATTCAATCAGGTATGCACATCCTGGTCAAAACTGCTAATTTCGAAACACACAATGTCTGATTGTCCATTCATTTCAGATTGACCTTCCTTTCATCTAGTCCTAGACAGCTGAAGAGTAGGTGATTAAATTTAGCCTTGAAAAATAATTACATGCACTTTTACTTATATGCTCGGTAAAAAAAACCATCTGAGGTTCCTGAATATCTACATGAAAAACATAACAAATATGCTTAATGACAGAAAAAAAGAACCTTTTTTAAATTCTGTTTTTCCAGATGGGGAATGAAAAGGAAATCAACAACTTCATTTTCAGCATTCACTGTTAAAAAAGATATTAAATATTTACACTAAACTGATTTTTAGATCAGATAGTCCCTAAAACCCAACACGATTGTATGAGTCAACAACGGCACAAGGCCTTCTGAGGCTCAAAGTGAAAGCTTAGCCGGGAATATAATAATTCTGCTTTTCAGACTTTCATTGTTTTTCATAAAGTCAAATTGTGGAGGGATAAAATTTTTCAAATAAATGTAACTCCTTTCCCTTTCTTTCCTGATCCCTGTCCCAAAGCCAGTAGTTCCAACTGGACTACAAGGAAAGCTATGATTAGGTTTCAGGAGAATTTGTAATGGAATATATGAAAATCTCCCCTTAAAAAGAAAGAGTTATTTTAAAAATCTGGTACCTCATAAAGCACAAACACTGGACTGTACAATATTATTACAGGAAAGGGTGGGAATCAAAAGTCCAAGCTTGAGGTAGAGTTGTGTTTGCTGGGAGGAGGGGCGAGGTGGTGAAAATCAAACCCTGCCTGCTCTACCACAAGCTGGGACGGACTCCCAGATCTCTGGCACCTTGTGTGTCTCTTCGGAATGTGAATGCCATATTTATGCCGAATAAAGGACACTTTCATGTTGAAATGTAACAGCTGAAAATAGAACCCATGCTCCCGGCTTCACCATTTAATTATCAACTGTTCTCTGTATATACAGTACATGGTAGAGACTTCTGGAGTTCAATAGGTCCCTTTCCTAGGTAACATTATCTATTTACTTTCAAATCTACCAATTTCCACTTCCAAAGGTTTCTATTTAAACAGTACTGATTAAAGTAATTCTAAAAGGTGAAAATGGCACATTATTTTAATGATTACTAGCAACGAAATCGTGGAGTGCTACTAAATGGCTCAAGGACAAATGTCACACCACTTAATGATGGCTTAATCTCACTGATCACAGTGTACCATCTGATAGAACCAGAGCAACTATCTATATGGTTGCCTGCTCAACTACTAGCTGAAAGGTAGGCAGTTCAAACGTACCTAAAACTACCTCAAAATGCAGGCCTGGCTCTCTGCTTGTAAAGGGTCACAGTAGAACCATGCTGTGCTCCCAACCCTGAAGCTGCACCTCTCTGGCCCTTTGAATCCACAAGCAGGTCCATGAGAGAAAGAGGAGCAATCTCTTCCCATGGGACTTCATGCTCTGAAAATCCCCTGGAGGGTCAGCTCTGAGTTCATTACAGCTCAGTGGCACATCACCACCACCGCCACCACAACTGGCTGAGTGTATGCATGCTCTTTTAATATCCTTTCATCTGTTGACTGGTACTTAGCTTGTTTCTACCTTTTGACTACTGTGAATAACGCTGTAATGAGTATCAGCGGAATCTTTGCTTTCCATCTTTTTGGTAGAGTGGAGTTCCTCTACCCGGGTCATATCCTAGTTTTCTCTTAAGTGTTTTGAGGAACCTTGTCTTCCAAAATGGCTGCTGCATTCCCGCCAGCAATGAATAGGAGTTCCCATTTCCCTCCATTCTTGCCAGCCTCCATTCTTTTCTCACTCATTCTTGTAGGAGTGAAAAGCTATCTTACTGTGGCTTTGATTTTGCCTTTCTCCGTTGACTAAAGAGGACAGGCATCTTTTCATGAGTTTGGTGGCCATCTGGATGGGGTCATCAGGGGCTGAGTGGAGGAGGGAGTGGGAATAACTGGGACGGCACTATCACACTGATTAAGGTCAGGGCTGCATAGTTACATAGTTACAATGACTGTAACTGCTATGTTTTACACCTGTATAGAGTTGACATTTTCAAAAGCAGTGTGACAGATAACAGTAACAACTATATCAACACAAGAAAGAAAACAAATGAAAAATTGTTAAGGCTTGCAGTGCACATCCAAATACTTCAAGAGATTTAGTTTCTTAGAAGTTTAAGATTATGGCTTCATGGGGCCTGCCAATTAACTGGTTTTAGAACATGTTTATTATCTCCTAGTGCTACCTCCTACTTGGATGTGCTTTCAAGTGACCGACCAAAGCTTCACAATTTGTCTCTATTCACCTGCAGCAACAGTAGAAGAAGGAGAGTTAGGCATTGGAGGGAGAAATCCCTCCAGGAACAGCTGTCTCCTTTGCTATGGGACCAGAAAAAGCAGATGGTAGCTGGCAACCATTATTCACCATTCTGATCTAGGAGTCTGCTAGAAGACTCTAAATCAAGAGGAGGAAGTAAAGACTAGAATTTGAGTTGACTACAACTCATAGTGAACCTATGAACAAGAGACAATCTGTAAACGTTAAAAGATCCCCTAATGTTGGTATTCAAAACCAACCAATTGCTTAGCATATCTATCCAAAAAATGTCTGCCTTAGAATTTATGTTCTTTAAAGAGCTATCAAAGTTGACAACAGCAACTGGAAAGCTCAGACAGAAACCCTAGGAGACAGTGATTCTGTTAGTGAAGGAGGAACAATTCAGAAAGGAAGGCTCAGAATGGTTGACATGAAGAATGTACTCAGTGTTACTAAGTGATACATGTAGAAACAGTAGGATTTGTGCACGTCTCCTTGGGTATATTGTTACAACAATAACAAAAGAAATAGAACTGTTTTAAAAGGGCTAGGTGACAAGGCAAATAGAAATAAGACCATTTACTCCAAGAGTAGAGTCAGGTCTGACTCTATACGCACGATGGAACAGCAGGGTTGTCTCTCAGAGAGGAGAGAGTGAGGACAAATAAACTCAAGTTTTAGGAAATAAGAATTCGATGCAAAAAAGGAATGACCTAACTGAAATTCATTAAACCTGAGTTGAATTCCTGGAGGTAGACAAGGTTCTCCAACAAGCGTAATTACCATTTCTTTTAGACGGTTTAAGTGTGGTTCTGCCTACATGGAAGAAAATTTTTTATAGTCTTTATCTTCATAGGATTATTTGGAATGCTGCATCACTGGTAATCAGGATTACATTTTTCTTCTTAAAAAAAATCAATCACTGTCACAGTCAGTTTCACCTAGTTCATAAAGAGGGAGCTCTAGTGGCCTAGAGGTAATAAGCCACACAGCAGTCCCAAAGGCACTGGGTTTGAATCCACCAGTTGCTTCAACGGGAGCAGAACAGGAAACTTCTACCTGGGCAGTTTACTGCCTCTGAAAACCTGCTGGAGGGTCAGCTATGAGTTGGATCTGATTTAAGGGCACACAACAACAACCGTTCACAGTGACCGTGAATAGCGACATCAATAGTCACTTGGGTCTTAAAAGCTTTTGAGCAGCCATCAAAGGTGCAACTATCCGTCTCTTCTGGAACAAAGATGAGGAAAGAAATGAAAAGGTGTATAGAAATAATTAGTGCAAATGACTCAAGGACCACACAGGCCTCAACTTTAATGATCCTGAGACCAGAAAAACTATATGGTGGCTGACTTCTGCTGCTGACCTCTCTAAAATGTAGAACAAAATGCCAAAACATAAAGGTGGCTCACTCGTGGGATAGAGATGGTGGACTCCCAAATACTATAGCCCTTAGTCAGGCTTCAAACCTCAAATAAAACTCATCCCTGTGGTTCAACTTTCAACTAGGCATGGCATAAGGGTAAGAGTGACATCAGAGGGTCTCTCACTTCTTAGAATAAGTATCCAAAGGACACACTCTGACAAGAGATGAAGCTCAGAAGAGAGGAAGGGGTAGGAAAGAAGGACAGATGAACCCCGGAATCACAGGGAAGAGAGGGGCAGAGTGAGGCTACTATCATTATTACCATAAAGTAAAATAGGAATGAATGGTTGAATGGAAATTCAATTTGACATGTAAATTTTAACTAAAGATAATAAAAAGGAAACAAACACCTCAATAATTTGGAAAACTTAATACTACTTCAAAAGAGCAAGAATGAAAATATTTTGGTTTCTTAACCATTAAAAAAATTCTTAGAAAGAACAGTGTACTCAATAATTTCAAAAGCAGAAACATGTTACTAACTCTTCATTAGATAATGTCTAAGATGGAAGAGAATTTAGGAATAACAGCACATCTTTCTTTTTTGTAGGACACACAAGACTAGGGAGTTTTTGTGTCTGCTTCTTGGTTTCAGATTTCATCATGCATAGAGTCAGATCTATAACCTCAAAACTCTCATAGCTGGCCCAGGGGGTCTTTCTACTACACAAAGTTGCTTCTAGTAATTTCTATTGCATTTTAAATACGCTGCCATTCCATAAAGATTTAAAAGGGGGAAAATAATCATTGATAAGACCACACCAACTTCAGAGAAACAATGTTTTGCAAAGGCTTTTTGTGTGTGACCATATTGCTGAGTGTAATTTTTCCTGTACACTGCAGGACGTCTAGCATCCTGATTGCGGCTCATTAAAATAGCAGCAGCACGTCCAAGTCCTGTGATAACCAAACGTGCTGTTACGTTGCCAAATGACCTCCAGGGGGCGGAGAGGTCTCCATGAAGCGTCACTGGGTCTGTAGGCAGACTTGGAATTCAAGCACCACTTGGGGACAGTCTATCTGTATGAAATATATTTATTTGTTTTAATCTAAGAACAAACAAGTCTGGTAAAGGATATAACTTCGTGAAGTTAAACTAAACTGACCGTAATTGTCACATACCCACTGCTAATTTGGAGGCTTCATTTTATTAAGCTATCTGCATGTCTGACACACTTTGAGCGGGGTTAACAGAAGGAAGGGTGGTTGTTCTCAAGGGAAAGGGTAGCTTGAACTTGTTAGTGAACACAACCCAGAGGTATTGCTTACTTATATTTAAAAAAAAAGTTAAAAGTTTGTTTAAAAGCGATATATGATAGGGTATTGAGGTTATGACAAGAGTCCAGAGTGAAGTTTGCATAGTGGAGTGTACTGGGGGCAGGGGGGATTGTATACCAAGGAAGGAATTTTTCTTTTACTTTTCAAAGAGAAGAGCGAACTGGGGGGGAGGGGTGGGCAGGGAGAAAAATGCAACAATGAATGAATGGAAACCCCAAATCTCTGTAACTGTTCATGAAAATTAATAAAATAACATTTTAAAAAAGAAATTAAAAAAATAAATCAGAATAAAGTTTGAATGGCTGCAACAACGTGCTTGACTGAGCACGACAGAGACCCTGAGGGTAGCCCACGACAGGGCAAGATTTACATCTGTTATTCTTAGGGTAGCTATGAATCATAGTCGACTCCACCACACCTAACAACAACAATAACAGAATAAGAAAGAATTATTTCATTATTAATTTTTAAAAAAAAGTTAGAATGGACGCATGAATGTGTGTATGTGATTATTTTCAAATACTTACAAGATCCAGTGCTGAGCCACCACCCAGGTATTCCATGATAATCCACAGCTTTGAACCCTGTAATGACCACAAAACCATTTCATATTATTAAAACTTGATTCAAATAACACACTAGGATATACATATGAAATTTGACATACCAATGATCTAGAACCAATGAAAATACATTTCTGAGCCTTGCTCCTCCCCTAAACTTACTTAGCCTGTAACAGACAAGAGCTTGTTGAACCAGAAAAGACAAAGTGTAGCTTGACATTTCTAGGGAACCTTCTAGTGGCATAGTCCATAGCGAGCTCCACTGCTAACCACAAAGCTATGCAGCTCCTGTGGTTCAAATCCAACAGAGGCTCCAAGGAAGGAAGACTGGCAGTTTCTTCCCATTAAGACTTACAGCCTCAGCGACCCCAATGGAGGGGTGTTGTGACTTGGAAGTGCCTCGACGGCAGCGAGTTTGGTTTTGGGTTTTACATTATTATCTTTATGATGAAATTGAAGAGATAGCTCAATGAATGAGGAGGTTAAGAAAGTCTGAATGAGGCTTTTGAGAGTTTCTCGTCAGATTTTAGAATTTGAGGACACTGATCATTTTGTCTTATTTCTGTATTTGGACTTGTTTTAATGTACTTTACAAGTTTTACCAGTGAAAAATAATAGGCATTTTTAGTACATAAATGGGGTAAGGCAAAAGGATTTTGCCAGTTTAAGAGTGAACCCGGAAGATAAAGGTGCTCTGGCGAAGCTGGTAGAAGCCATCAGAACCAATTACAATGACAGATATGATGAGATCTGCCGCCACTGGGGAGGCAACGTCCTAGGGTCCAAGTCAGTGGCCCGCATCGCCAAGCTGGAGAAGGCCAAGGCCAAGGAACTCGCCACCAAACTGGGCTGATGTACACACTGACTCTTCTGTACATAAGAATAAACTTATTCCATCGTCTGCTAAAAAAGAGTGTATCATTTCTATGACAATTCCAGGTAGAACTCACTTTACTGTGAATCATACAGGTGGGAATGGAAATCAGAGAATTCATATACATGAATCATAAAATAGAAATGTACATAACACAGTATCTCTCTCTCTCTCACCCCCCCCCATACAACTCTGTCAAAGTCAAAATAAATTAATAAACTCTTGTTTTCTTTCAATTCTATCACCCTATATCATTTCATGAGTTGTATGCTTTGAACTGTTGTCGAACCACGGAGTTGACTGGAAGTAGAGTGTTTACTTTCACTACACTGGCAGACAACAGGCTGGGAATGGACTCTATTCCAGAAGTCTACTTCTAAGTAGGATACATGGAATTTCAAAAGCTAGTAATTTCCCATAAAAATAATGACAAGGTTCCCAAGGTGGTCTCTCGTCAAAGAAATCATTTAATGCAAATACATCTGTGGTATAGCATCAAGAGTACCAGAGAAAATAACAACAATTTATACCATAATGTTTCTATAGGAAAAATACTGGTAGTTTCATGCTTCAACCGGGATGCCAGGAACACATTTCTCACTTTAACAGCCCTAACCATGGAAGACGGATCGCATACTACTGCTGGTAACCCTACAAATTCTAAAATCCCTACAAAGTCCTCGGGTTTCTAGGAATCTCTTTAGGACCGAGGCTCCATCAAGGTAAAGGATGGATGCCAGGGATGTGAGAGTGCCTAGGTACAGGTAGGGAATCAACCTAGGAATAAGGATTGGGAAGGGAGAAATCAGGCAAATTAAGACGAAAAGATTCAGCTTTTTTTTTTTTCTTTTCTAGGCTGTATCAGAAAATGAGGTAAATGATGCTCCTCTTGCCCTCTCTCTAATAATCTTGATATCTACCTTGTCTTGCCACAGCAAGTGAGCTTGAACAGGGAAAGAAAGGGGGTCAAAAGGCTTAATTAACAGCAGTGCTTACAGAACGACCAAGGGGAAATAAGGCTCTCACAACAGTGTAGAGGGGCAGGGCTTCCAAGAGTTCTTCAGGTATCTTGTATTTATGTGTAGCATTGGAGTATTCAGAACCTGATGCATCTTCATGCTCTTTGCAAAAGATGGGGAAAAATATTCTTTCATGAAGATTTCTCTCTCACGCAGCCTTTGGTTTTCGAGGCTGGGAATCACGTGAGAGAAGACTAGTCCATCTTTCTCTCTCGGAGTTTTTGGTGAATTTGATATACTATAAAGATACCAAATGTCCTCAGAATGCTTTAGAGGGAAAGAAAGTTATTTGTTTTGCCACAAGTCTGTGTCTAACAAATATTATACTTCACCTAGGAAGCATGAATTTAAACTACAGGGCCTTGTTTTTTTTTAAACATTTTTTTTTTAGGGCCTTGTTAATACTCCACTGTCACTGATTTGTGACACCAGAATGATTCTCATTTCTCCACCTGAGACTGAAAAATAATAAAGCGTGTGTAGCTGTTTTGCAGGGAGCTCTGGTGCTGTAGTCTGTAGGGAGTTGCAATGTCAATCCAAAGGTGGTACCTCTCTAGTGGTTCGAATCTACCAGCAGCTCCAAGGGAGAATATTGGACTGTCTCCTTCTGTGTAATTTACAGCTTCCAGAAACCTGCTGGAGAGTCAGTTTTGAGCCAGGTCCAACTTGAAGGCTATGAGTTTGAGTTGAGTTGTTTTGCAGTTCAGCACTGGTGAAAGCATCTGCTTTCTAAATTACAGATAATGTGGGCCCTTTTATTACTTTTTTTCCCCACCAATTAAAAACAGAAACTGACCATCTGTCTTGCTTTTCATTAGAAAGTATTCCTAGAAAGCTTGAAATGTGCCTTCACAAGCCAGATCTACTGCCTCGGAGTGACAATGGAACAACTTCCAAAGCTGAGAACTTACTACCAGCAAGTCAGGTGGGAGACAATGTTTGCTGGGAAAGCAAATGCTTGGCCCAAGGGAGCAGGCACTGCTTTTATTCCTAGTGGGAACTTGGAATGAAGTTGTCCATGAGCGGATAGATGCCCATTATATGTTTTTAAAAGAGTAGTATTTGTACTATAAAGTAAGTATATGTTGAATTTAATAGATTTTGATAAAAGAATCCTATTAAAAAGAAAAAGCTCCCTCCTAGGTTTGCCTCAAGTTTTAGAAGAAAATTTTAAAAAAGTAAGTTTTTTTTTTAAAAGAAAATTGTATTCCAGAGATGTTCACCAACACTGGAAAAAGCATTTTTTAATAAAGGTTCAGAGCAAAATACTGAGAAGACTACAGAACTGTGCTAACTCTATTCTGGAACATTTTACTTCAATCATTCAATTCTTTTGTGGTTTTTTGTGTTTTTTTTTTTACTTTTACAAATATTAGAAGGGGGAGGGGATATTTTCTTAATAAAACCAGAAACCTAATGGCAATTTTCAGCCGCAAATAAAGGCATGATTCAAATGCCACTCAATGCTGGAGTGCGCCTCATTTTAAGATTTACACTGAACTAGAAAAATATTTAACAATTATAAAAGATTCTTCTAATATTTCAAGATCAGATGGGAAGGGTCTGCTTATTTTAGCACTCTTCATAAAGACTAACTTTGTCTGTCAAGATACTCTGCAGTGAACTGAAATGAAAGGAAAACACTGTGGCCACAGTCCTGTTTGCCTGGTTTTTACTCTTGTTTTTAAAAATGAAGTTACACAGTGAGCTCAGTCAAAATGATGACCTATGACATTTTTGCATTTCTCAGGGAAATTACAACTGCATACGTTTGCCGAGAGCATATGATTTTCTCTCAAATGCAATAACTTTTCTCCAATGTATAGTGAGACCTTGGTTATGTACAATATCCTGTCTATGGAAAATCTGAGACAAACCTGTATCTGACTTGATTCAATTAGCTTGATGTAGAAAATCTCCATGTCATCTGAAATGAAAGGAGAAAATTCCCCGATGGTTCTAAGATGAAGTGACCTTGTATTATACTGACTGCACTAAACAAGGACTCACTGCCATCTTCCACTGGGTTTCTGATGCTGTAAATAAACCTCAATGGGAGAAGACTGCCCATCTTTCTCACAAGGAGCCACTAGTGGTTTCTCGCAACTCTCTATGGACTACCCCGCTCTGCTGTATTTGATGTGATGTTAATTTCTTTGGAAAATCCAAGCCTCACTAACCACACCATGGTTTAATGTAAATGGAAAATAAGCAAGTTGGACACCTTGAAGAAACAGTGACTGTGTAAGGAATATAAGTGGAATAACAAAACATTTAGAATCGCAGGATATTTTCCTGTCCGCGGTGTATGCACACACATCTATATTGAAATGACACACATATATGTATACAATAAAAGCTGCAATTTGTTAAGGAAGAAACTTGTCAGAGAAGAAAAATGCAAATATTTTCCACCAACGGAAAACAAAGGTGATGACTGCACCCTGTCAAGAGCAGCAAACGTGAAACCTAGAAAAACAAGTCAGTTGTCTTGAGTTCCAGCTTTCACAGTTTCACTGTATATGACTCTTAACACTCTCTCTCCCGACCCCTCCCCCTCCCTCCCTCCTGCTGTCCTTCCCTCTCTCCTCCTCCTTCCCTCCCTCCCTCTCTCCCCCTTCCCTTCCTCTCTCTCTCCCCCCTCCCTCCTCTCTCCCTCTCTTAAATGTAAACAGATCCAGGCTACCAACAGTCAATATCTGCCCTCTGATATCATGTCCAGAGTATGTGAGACACAGCATTTTTCACCAACCAGTATGCTTTTCAAAGTAGTCTTTAGCATCATCTTGCATTGTTAGGTGTCCTGTCCTCAGCTCTGACTCATGTGAACTCGTGCACAAAAGAACCAAATCATGCCTGCTCCTGCACCGTTCTCACAACGGCTGCCCACTGTTGCAGTCACTGTACCAATCTAGCTCTTTGAGGAGCTTCCTCTCTTATGTTGATTATCTATTTCCCAAGCGTGATGTCTTTTCAAAGGCTCTGCTGATAAGAAGAATGTAATATTTTTTTCACTTCTTTCAGATCTTGCCAGAAGTTTATTCTTCCAGAAAGTCCATCAGTATGTTTCCATTTAACATCACAGAGATGAACTGATGATAAGCGAGGGGACAAATCAGTGTTAGAAGTACAGTCAGAATGGTTCTTAGAAGGGAACATGGTGAGACTCTTGTCTTGCCTACTTTGGACATGAGTTCAGGAAGGACTAGTCCCTAGAGAAGGACTTCATGCTTGGAAGAAGATCATAAAAAAGAGGAAGATCCTCAAAGAGATGGACTGAGTCAGTGGATACAGACAGAGACGGTGAGGACGGGACATGAATGAGCAGACGGTGAGGACGGGACATGAATGAGTAGTGTTTTGTTCTGTTGCACATGGGATCACTATGTGCTTGAACCAACTTAACAAACATTACAAAGGAAACATGAATAATTCAGTCGAGTCCTTCAAAAACATACTGAACACTGGTTTTGTATCACTGGTCTAAGGACGTTCCACAACCAAGAACTGGACAAAATGAACAAATAAATTTGTCTTCTGGAAAAACTGAGTACTGTGCTAGGCTTTGAGAAAAAAAACAAACCAACCTAAAACCCTCCACCACCTTTCAATCTTGGGAATGAAAATTTAAGGAGAGTTAGAACTCTATGACTAGCAGAGCACTGAAAATGAACAAGCAAAATCTTTGAGAAAACCATAAAACACAGGTAACACCATTTTAGTGCCCATTTTGAATAAAACAGGGGCTAGACTATCTTAAATAGGCCTTTTTTTAATATTTTAAGTCAGGAACCAAAAATAGCTTATCTGTTACGAGGGCCTAAAAATAGTAAAGGTTCAGGTTTGCCCTAGAGTGGATCTGGAATTACCAGAATGCAATCCAGAAAGAGTAAAGCAGAATAAGAGTGTCTCTCTCTCTCTCCACCCCCCCCCCCCCCCCGCCTCGGACTTCCACAGCCAACTCTACTAAGAGAATCATGAGGGGAACCCAGAACTACTTGCATTGAATAACCACTCACAGGATTTCTAAAAAAGAATCCGACCTCTTCACAGAGCTTTTTAGGAGAAAATAAGAAAAATATATTATGGGACAAAGAAAGAAATAACTATGTGTATAATAAAATATGATAACAGCTAATTCTCAGATGTAAATGCTTAAATTTGATAGCAATTATCAGTATTAGTCTTATCATTTGTTGGAAGGGTTTTTTCCCTCAACCTACTTCTGAAGAAAAGGACACCTGTTTATTTGTACCCCATCTGTATCTTCTACACACTTTAATAATAAAATATCTATCTTTTCAGTATATTTCTGGACAATGACAGCAGGAGTGAATCATTTTTATATCTTCAGGGCCTAGTACAATACAGTGTCTGACACTTTCCCCCCACTGATACCGAGTTGATTCTGGCTCATAACAACCCTATATTCCACAGGATTTCAAGGCTTGCAAGTTTTCTAAGTCTAGACTACCTCATCTTTCTTCTTCCATGTGGCTGATGGGTTTGAACCAGCAACCTTTGGTTAGCAGTCAAGTTCCTTCTACGACCCATACTGGCTGTTTAGTGATGAATTCCACACTCACTTAATTCTACATTCATTTAATTAATGGAACAATGCAAATAACCAGGCTTTATTTACAAAAGCAGAGAAATTGATGAGAAATTTCTCTATCAGAACTAACTAATAACAGATAATTACCCTAGGGTTTATTTGGTTAACAGAGCTTAAAAAGACAGCATTAAATTTTATGCAGGTCAACAGCTTAATGCGTATATGCATACAGTGTACCCCTTCTGGCGTACAGATGAGCAACAACGAAAAACCCCCGAACAAAAAAAAGAGAGAGAGAGAGAGAGAAACCAAAGCAAAGCAAAGCAAAACAAAACAAAACAAAACAAAACACATTTGCCTCTTATAAAACTCTGAGAGACAAAACAAAAACCCAAAACAAACATTGTCCCGTTTTAAAAACATTCATCAGAGATAACCAATTTTAATTTTAAGATCATTTAAACTCTAACCTAACCTAGATGCATTTCAGTAGTCTTATTTCCTGACTTGTAGCTCTGGAACCCCAAACCCCCTGGGTTTCACCAATCATAGAATTTTCTATTATGTAGTAATATCTCCATCTGGTGGAATTTTAGGTGTTTGCTAATTCTATCATCTTGGAACATTTCAGGGGTGGGGTGAGGGACAGACATTATTCTGTTTCATTTCGTCTCAGTGAATATTTATCACGTGCTTAAGATGGGCCAGACCCTGTGCTAAGTTATATTTAAAAAACAAACCAAAGGTTATGAGACAATCCCTACCATCAACAGCTCACAACCTGGCAGAAAAGAGGTATGTAAATAACCACTCGTGCTATGCTTACCTAGCCCATCAATTCTGAGGTTAAGACAGCTGGAACTATCGAGAATAAAGTATGAAATCCCAAAGGGACAGCACTTTTCTGACAGAGCATATATCTTAAGACCAGCTGCGTTTCTGCTCCTCCATTCCTCTCGCATCACAGTTGAGGTGTGGAGGAAGGGAGCAGTTGATCCTAGCATGGATTGAGTATAGAGCAATGTGACAGTGGTGTATTTGTCACTACAAGTGGAGCTAGAGTCTGCCTGGGGAGTCAAAGACTTCCAGATCTTAAGACATTAATTACCTTTCCTTCAAAAATGAAAGAAAAAGAAAAAAAAAGACAACAAACCCTTAAAATGAAAACACCTTATGACTTAAATAATAACTGCACACACGTTACCTTCAAATATGATCCATAGTATTTTGTTATATATGCGCTGTCACACTGGCTCAAAACAGTTATTTCTTGTTGGATGTCTTCAATTTCATCTTCGGCTTCCTCAAGGTCGATGATTTTGATAGCAACCACTTGCTGGGTTCGGTTATCAATTCCTTTGAAAACTTCTCCAAAGGAGCCTTTCCCAATGCGTTGTAACTTGGTGAACAGTTCTTCTGGATCAGCTATATTGTTCTAAGGGAGGAGAAGAGACAAAGACCAAGAAAAGAACACAAATGTTTTCAATCATATATTTTAAATGCGGGGGTTGGGGGGGGGGCAGAATCACGTAACACTTAACAGAGAACATAACACAATTAAATTAAGTAGGCATAAAATGTCCTTTAAGTTTCCACATGTGCTTTATTAGAACAATTGGAATCCCAAATGCTCAACTGGTCTATTCTAGTGAATCCCTCACACTAGCTGGGATTAGCTGATCTTGTCACCACAATCCCATATAGTGCTCCCTGCCAAAAAGAGTCAGGCACCTTTTAGGACAAGCCATTAATCTGCATTTGATTAATGGAGGGGGGGGAAGAGTAACTAAAATTAGTGGGTTGAATGTTGCTGCTGTTACGTGCTCTCAAGTCCTAGCTCATAGCTGACCTTCAAGTCAGGTTTTCAGACTGTCAATCTCATGGGTGGAGAGCTCCCATCTTTCTCGCGAGGCAGCTGGATTTGGATTTCCTGGTTTCGGACTGGCAGCGTAAACTCCTTTACTCACTAGGCCACTAGAGCTCCCTGTGAGTTGAACAGTAGCACCCAAAGGATATGTCCAAGTTCTAAGCCCTCAAACTTGTGAATGTGGCTGTATTTGGGGAGAAAGGTCTTTTGTAGATGTGATTAAGTTACCCTCTTGACTGAGAAGATTCTCTGGTGTTCTGGATCTCTGGCAGAACCTCAGGAGAAAGATGGGTGATACCCTCCTGTGTGATTTAGTACCTTTAGAACTCAGTATAGGGTCAGTTATGAGTTAGTTCCAACTTGAAAGCAATGAGAGTTCATAAGACAAATGCTGAGATTGGAGAGATGCATCTTACAAGCCAAGGAAGGCCAAGGACTGTCACCAATCACCAACCAGAAGCTCGGAGACAGGTAAGGGATGGAGTCTTTCTCAGAAGCTCAGAGAGAACCAATCCAATTGGCACCTTGATTTCAGATATCTGGCCTCCATAACTGCAAGGGAGTAAACATCTACTCTCCAAGGAATAACCTTATTCTCCTATATATTGGTGAAGATATACTATTGATCAAGTGAAGATTCAAGATCTCTAGTGCCCCTAGGAAAGGCACTTTACTAAATTATACTTATGTGCTTCATTGGTCTATACCTAAAACTTCACTTTGAATTCTTTCAAAAGAGAATATAAGGATGCTATCTACTTAGTTCTGGTAAAATATTCAACCTAGACTGTCCATTCATTTACTACCATTTTACCTAGTTTCAAGAGGGAATCATGGAAGAAGTTAGCATAACCTCAGCATTTTCCTTTACTAAAAAAGCAAAACAAAACAAAAAACCCTAAACAAACAACCCCAAAACAAACCACACTGCTGTCGTCGAGTCAATTCTGACTTCTAGAGACCCTCTAGCACATTTCTGAGACTGTAAATCTTCCTGAGACGGTTGTTTTCCCACATAGCAACTAGTGGATTCGACACATACGCTATGCCAAGGGATCTCCTTTTACTGTATGACAAACTAAAACCAAACCAAATTAATTCACTGCTATTGTGTTGATTTTGACTCACAATGACTCTCTGTCTGGTTTCCAAGGCTGTAAATATTTACAAGAGAAGACTACCTGTCTTTCTCCTGCAGAGAAGCTGGCAGATTCGAACTGCTGGTCTTTCAGTTAGAGGCCCTGTGTGTTACACACTTTGCCACTTGGACTCCTTACTCAACCAAGTGGCCATTATAAGACCATTCATTGCCTCTAATCAAGTTCTTTGCACCATGAGTGTGCTACCTCCTTTTAAGGTAACTTAAAAACTAACAATTACCTTCACACACACACAAAAAAAAGTCACCAACTCTTCTTTTTTTTTCCCCAGTCTTCTCAAAATCTGCTTACCGTACAAGCTTCCCCATTCTCATTCACTGGATTTCAGTTTCTGAAAGACGCACTTTCTATGGAGTAGTAGCCTCTTTGATGCTGCAAGCTGCTTGTGTATCCCCACTTATCTCCAGTTCCACATAATATAAATACATCTCGAACTTTCTGTGCATCCTTTTAAAACTACTTTCCAAATCCAGTAATTTGCAAGTCCCCTTTTCATGTTCACATTTTTTTTAGTTTCTGATTTATCTTCATTTTTTTAAATTTTCCTACTAGTTTATTTACAAAATTAAAATACAAATTTGAACAAATTATTTCCATTTCCCCCACCCATCAAATTGTACAACCCAATGATTAATCCCCTTTTCCCCCTGCACAGCCACATCCCTCTGCTTCCAGACTCTCCCACCCCTCCTGGATCCTTATACTCATTCTACAATAACGGTCTTATACAATATTTATCCCTGTGGGACTGAGTTCACTCATCACAATACTCTCCAGTATCTCCAAAGTTAGGTAATAATTTACAAAATCATTGTTCCTGTGTGCTGCATAGTTTTCCATTGTGTGAATGTACCATAATTTCTCAATCCACTCGTTTGTGGCTGGACATTTGTTCTATGTTCTTGTGATGGTGAATAATGCTGCTATGGACATTTTCTTATGTTCTGAAAAAACTTGAGCACTGTCATTATTTATTTCCTTGGCAATCTCTCTCTCTCTCTCTCTGTTACCATGACACTCTATTTCATGCTGCTTACTCTTCCTACTTTTCGTGATGGCTATTGCCTTTCTAGTACCTTGTGGCAAAATTACCCACCAAATGTACTTGCTTCCCTATAGCTTCCCAAATTCAGTGGACTTTGAAAAATAAAGACAAGGATTCCCCCCACCATTTGTTTTGATGCAGCTGCAAAGCTCATCTAAAATTTGAAAACATGCTACAGATAAAAAACATATACAATATGTACTTTCTAAAACTAGGAACCCATTCTGGAATGAGAAGTATAATCATTAACTTTATAACAAGAATCATCTGTTATGAAAGAGCCAAAGATTAAATCCTAATCTGCCTAATTAATGTTTTTAAAGAATATGACTAAAACAATCGATCCTAGGGAGGATACAGCTGTTTCTTGCTTTCTATAATAAATGGGTTCCTGAAAGTGTGTAAATCAAAGACTTAAAATCCAAGTCACATTTTGCATTTTAAAGACACTCTCAAGTGAATCTCAACTCATCAATATAATTGACAGTTAAAAAGAAAAGATTACTAAATTGGAGACAGGAAAAACAAAGAAAGAAAGCATCTTCATTTACACAGCATTTATGCTTCCCCACTATTTTCTTTTCATTCAAACCATGTAAGGGGGTATTCATGGTTTATAATCAGGAAAGGTGCGTGCCAGGGTTATCTTCTTTCACTATATCTATTCAAGCTGAATGCACAGCAATAATCTCAGAAGCTGGACTTTAGAAGAAAGCAGCATCAGGATTGGAGGAAGAGCTATTATCAACCTTCGATAAACAGATGACACAATTTCGTTTACTGAATGTGAAGAGGACTTGAAGCACTGCTTACTAAAGAAAGCCAAACGCTTCGCTCTGGATAATACCTCAACATACAAAACAAAACAAAACAAAAGATTCTCACAATTAAACCAATTAGAAACTAATCTGTTTTGGAAGCTGTATGCTCAGAATTCTCTTTAGAAATAAGTATAAAGATAATTTGTCTCATATACTTTGAAAATGCTATCAGGAGGGTCTAGTCCCTGGAAAAATGATATTATGCTCAGTGAAGTAGAAGGTCAGGGGCGAAAATGAAGACTCTCAAGGGGACAGACCAACACAGTGAATGCAATAACGGGCTCAAACACAGCAGTGGTTGTGAGGGTAGCAAAGGACTAGACATAAGCCATTGTACATAGGGTCGCTTTATGCTGGTTAACTGCTAACTGAAGGGTCAGCTATTCGAACCCACCAGTCACTCCACTGGAGAAAGATGTGGTAGCTTGCTTCTGTAAAACTGACAGTCGTGGAAACCATTTGGGCTTCTCTAACCTGTCCTACAGTGTTGTTCACTCACTCACTAGCTATACTATTAGCTGTCATCTAACAAGTTGAGTGTTGTGTGCTACTGAGTCAGAACCCACCCACAGGTGACCCTCCAGTGGGTTTTCAGAGGCAGTAAACTGCATGGGAGGAGAACTGCCCACTGTTCTCCCCACGGAGCAGCAGGTGGATCTGAACTCTGTGCCTTTGGGATAGCAGCACATCTTCTTACCACTAGGCCAGCAGAGCTCCATAACAAGTTGAGCACATAATGATCTTAAAAAAAAAGTCATTCACACAAGCCTCAAATGATGTTACTGTTTTCTTAGGATTACCTATACGCTCTCATTACCCTGTGAACACTGCCTGAAAACTCAGACACTTCATAGTAAACACATTGCCAGAAGAAAAAAAAAAAGAAATTCTTTAAAATCAACCGCCATGTATTTCCTAGATTCAAGACCACACAGCACGCTATCCTTTCAAGTGCTAGATATGCCCCATGAGCTTTTAGGGTGGTGCAAATAGTTATGCACTCAAACCTACATAGGGCCACCTCAGAAGATAGGCTTCCAAGAGGTCACAGCCTTGAAAACCCTGTAGGGCAGGAACTTAGCAAACACCTGATTCATTATTATTATTATTATTATTAATTTATTTTTACAGAAAGAAAATTGTAGCCTTGGGATTTTATGAATTGTTCAAGGACATAAAGGAGTCAGTGGTAAAGTATCATACTTGAACTCTGACTCCTAAGTCTAAAATTCTCTGGCTACGATCTGGATACTGTTTCTACCTGTAACTTGTGACTATTCTCTCCTCTGTTTCAAGGCAAAAACTCTTTTCCATCCCGAATATATCCCATCACTCTCCAATGTCTATCAGAGGTCAGTCGTCACTGTCGAGTTGGCGTTGACACCTCGCTAACCCTCTAGAGGGTTTTCAGAGGCTGGACATCGTACAGGAGGAGAGATTGCTTTTCCTTCTCTCACAGAGCAGCTGGTAGATTCGAATCACCTGTCTTTGGGTTGCCAGCACAAATCCTTACCCACTAAGCCACCAGAGCTCCCCAAAGTC